CGGTGACCGAGTCACTGGAGGAGCGGGTCAGCAGCCAGGACGCCATGATCCAGCGACTCGGCACCGCCATGCAAGACGTCATGAACACCCTGCGCCGATGGGAGAGAGGAGGCTTGCCCACACCTCCTCCTACCGTACCACCACCATTGGCCAGCCCCATCATACCAGCTCCGGAGTCCAGTGGGATTCGGCTCTCGCTCCCGAGGGCATATGATGGCACCGCAGCCGGGTGTTAGGGGTACCTCCTTCAGGTGGAACTCTACCTGGCACCCATACACCCGGCGCCCTCGGGATACGAGAGCGTTTCCGCCCTCATCTCCTGTCTCTCCGGCAAGGCTTTGGAGTGGGCCAATGCCGAATGGAGGGGAATAGACGCCGCCACCATCAGCTACGCGGAGTTCTCCCGCCGCTTCAGGGCTGTTTTCGATCATCCCCCAGAGGGTAAAGCGGCGGGGGAGCGTCTGTTCCACCTCCGACAGGGGAAGAGGAGCGCACAGGAGTTCGCCCTGGACTTCCGGACTCTAGCGGCGGATGCGGGGTGGAATGAGAGGGCCCTCATCGACCACTATCGGTGCAGCCTGCGAGAGGACGTTCGACGAGAGTTGGCCTGCAGGGACACCAATCTAACCTTCGACCAGTTGGTGGACATGTCAATCCGTCTGGATACCCTGCTGGCTACCCGCGGACGTCCGGAGTTGGGGCCATCCATTCCATCCCCCAGCACCTCCGAGCCGAGCCCTATGTTGCTTGGGGGTGCTGGCGCTAGAGAGAGGAGGAGAGAGATCCGGAGGGAGGCCGTCCCCTGCACCAACTGTGGCCGTAGAGGACACACTGCGGTTCGGTGCTGGGGAGGGTCTCCAGGGGATCGAGGCAACAGGTCACGCACTGGGGAGTCATTCCAGGTGAGTAGGCGCACAACTCACCCAGAGCTCTCTGTTGGTCACATGTGTATACCTGTAGTATTCCCACAGGTTGCATCTCATTCCCAGCATAAGGCGCTAGTCGATTCAGGCGCAGCTGGGAATTTTATTGATCGTAATTTTTGTGTTAAGTTAGGGATTCCCCTCCGACCAGTAGATGTGCCTTTCCCTATTCATGCCTTAGATAGCCGTCCGTTGGGATCTGGGTTGATTAGGGAGGTCACAGCGCCACTAAAGATGAAGGCGCAGGGGGGTCATGAGGAGATCATTCAGTTATATCTGATCGACTCTCCTGCCTATCCCGTGGTGCTGGGGCTTCCTTGGTTAATCTCCCATGACCCCACCATTCCGTGGCAACCGAGGGCTCTCAAGGAGTGGTCTGCCCAGTGTGTTGGGCGATGTCTAGGTGTTTCCGTAGGGGCGACCACGGTGGAGAGTCCGAACCAATTGCCTGCACTGCACATTCCTCCTGAGTATGATGATTTGGCACTAGTGTTCAGCAAGACTAGGGCGACGCGATTGCCACCTCATAGACAGGGGGATTGTGCGATAGACCTCCAGGCAGGTGCTGCACTTCCACGTAGTCATGTGTATCCTCTGTCTCAAGAGGAGAAGGTGGCTATGGAGACATACATAGCCGAGTCTCTGAGACAGGGATACATACGGCCCTCCACTTCCCCTGCGTCCTCGAGTTTCTTTTTTGTGAAGAAGAAGGATGGAGGGTTGCGCCCGTGTATTGATTACCGTAGTCTCAATCAGATCACTGTGAAATACAGTTATCCACTCCCTCTGATTGCGAGTATGACGGAATCATTACACAGAGCGTGTTTCTTCACAAAACTGGATCTCAGCAGCGCCTACAACTTGGTGCGCATTAGGGAGGGAGATGAATGGAAGACAGCATTTAGTACCACCTCGGGTCACTACGAGTATCTCGTCATGCCATACGGGTTAATGAATGCTCCTTCAGTCTTCCAATCCTTTGTGGACGAGATCTTCCGGGATTTGCATGGGCAGGGTGTAGTAGTGTCTATTGACGACATACTAGTTTACTCTTCTACACGAGCCGAGCATGTAGCCCTGGTGCCTCGAGTGTTGGGTAGGCTGTTGGAGCATGACTTGTATGTCAAGGCAGAGAAATGTCTGTTTTTCCAGGAGGCCATCTCCTTCCTGGGCCATCGATTGTCCGCGTCAGGGGTGGAGATGGAGATTGACCGCGTTTCAGCCGTGCGTAATTGGCAGACTCCAACCACGGTTAAGGAAGTGCAGCGGTTTTTGGGTTTTGCCAATTACTACCGGAGGTTTATCCGGGGTTTTGGACAGGTGGCAGCTCCCATCACCTCCCTGCTGAAGGGGGGCCCAGTGCGTTTGCAGTGGTCAGCTGAGGCGGACAGGGCGTTTGGTAAACTGAAGGACCTGTTCACCTCTGCTCCGGTGCTGGCGCATCCGGATCCCGCTTTAGCGTTCCAGGTGGAGGTGGACGCGTCAGAGGCCGGTATTGGGGCTGTACTGTCTCAACGCTCAGGCACGCCCCCTAAACTCCGGCCCTGCGCTTTTTACTCTAAGAAGCTCAGCCCGGCGGAACGTAATTATGACGTGGGGGACAGGGAGCTGCTCGCCGTGGTTCAAGCCATAAAGGTGTGGAGGCATTGGCTTGAGGGGGCTCAACACCCTTTTCTCATTCTGACTGACCATCGTAACCTGGAGTACATCCGGGCAGCTAGGAGACTGAACCCTCGTCAGGCTAGGTGGACCATGTTTCTGGCCCGGTTTGTGTTTAAGCTCACTTACATCCCAGGGTCCCAGAACGGTAAGGCAGACGCCCTGTCCCGGCGATATGACGCAGAGGAGAGGTCCATTGAGCCCACGCCCATACTGCCGGAGTCTTGTCTGGTGGCACCGGTGGTGTGGGAGGTCGATGCGGAGATCGAGCGGGCGTTACGCACCGACCCTACTCCTCCAGAGTGTCCAGTGGGGCGGACGTACGTTCCGCTCGAGATTCGTGATCGTCTCATATATTGGGCTCATACGTCACCCTCCTCTGGACACCCTGGTATCGGCCGGACAGTGCACTGCCTTAGTGAAAAGTACTGGTGGCCAACATTGGCTAAGGACGTGAGGGTTTATGTCTCCTCCTGCTCGGTGTGCGCTCAGTGTAAGGCGCCTAGACACCTGCCCAGGGGGAAGTTACAACCCCTACCCGTTCCACAACGGCCGTGGTCTCACCTCTCGGTAGACTTTGTCACGGACCTTCCCCCCTCCCAGGGGAATACCACCATTCTGGTTGTTGTGGATCGGTTCTCTAAAGCCTGTCGTCTCATCCCAATGCCGGGTCTCCCTACTGCCCTACAGACTGCTGAGGCTTTGTTTACCCACGTCTTCCGGCACTACGGGGTACCCGAGGATATAGTGTCTGATCGGGGTCCCCAATTCACCTCTAGAGTCTGGAGGGCGTTCATGGAACGCTTGGGGGTCTCGGTTAGCCTTACCTCGGGTTTCCATCCTGAGAGTAATGGGCAGGTGGAGAAATTGAACCAGGATGTGGGTAGGTTTCTGAGATCATATTGCCAGGACCGGTAGGAGGAGTGGTCGGGGTATATCCCCTGGGCGGAGATTGCCCAGAACTCTCTTCGCCATTTCTCTACTAATTTGACCCCTTTCCAGTGTGTGTTGGGGTATCAGCCGGTTCTGGCACCATGGCATCAGAGCCTGATCGAGGCTCCTGCGGTGGATGAGTGGTTTCGGCGCTCGGAGGAGACGTGGAACGCTGCGCATGTACATCTGCAGCGGGCTATCCGTAGGCAGAAGGCGAGCGCCGATCTCCACCGCAGTGAGGGTCCAGTGTACGCACCTGGAGATCGAGTCTGGTTCTCGACTCGAAACCTGCCCCTTCGTCTGCCCTGCCGTAAACTGGGTCGGCGGTTTGTGGGCCCATTTAAAGTCCTGAGGAGATTGAACAAGGTTTGTTACAGGTTACAACTGCCTAATGATTATCGCATTTACCCCTCATTCCATGTGTCTCTCCTCAGGCCGGTGGTAGCTGGTCCACTCCAGGACAGTGAGATACGGGAGACTCCTCCGCCCCCACTGGACATCGAGGGGGCTCCGGCGTACTCAGTCTAGTCCATCGTGGATTCGAGACATCGGATGGGGGGTCTGCAGTATCTCGTGGAGTGGGAGGGGTACGGACCGGAGGAACGGTGCTGGGTGCCTAGGAGGGACATTTTAGATCCCTCCCTCCTGACGGAGTTCCACCGGAGTCATCCTACGCGCCCTGCTCCGCGTCCTCCTGGCCGTCCCCGAGGGGGGGGTACTGTCACGGAGACCGCCGAGGCTGCTCCTCCTCCTTGCTCGGGCAGGCTTCGGCGTTCGTCGTCCCCGGAGTACTAGCTACTACCGCTTGATGTTTTCGATGTTTGTTTGGTCATGTCTAGTTGGTGCACCTGTCTCGTATTCTGTCTTGATTATGTCTCCTATAAGTTCCCCTGTGTTATGTTTGCATTTTGTGTGTTATTGTCCGCTTGTCATATGCGTACTGGTTTGGAACCTTGGCTTCATTTGTTGTTTTACGCACCCCGCGTATCTTGTTCGCCTCTAGTGTTTCGAGGCCGTTTATTTTTGTGTATTATCGAGTTCATCAGTAAAGTCGTCTTGACTTATCCTCTGTGTCCTGCGCTTGACTTCACCACCGCATCCACATCAGCATCCCTGACACAGGGATGTAAACAAATTTGTGCACAAAATTTGAGCGAAATAAGCTTTTTGTGCTAATGAAAAATGTACACTTTACATATTGCATTTTTATTTTTGTTCAGTGTAAAAAGAATGGCAGTCTAGTTTAGTAAGAGTCAGTGTCACTTGTGACATTTATTCTGAAAATACAGAAGCAAGTGAACAAATGGTAGTAACATTATATCAACTGAGATTCTCAATGAAATTAACTGTGATTATAATGAATCTACTACCTTTTAACAGAGATTCTGAATATCTACATTATGATTGGCTGGGATTTTTAGAAATTACAGCCATCTCAGTTTGTGGATAACCTATGCTCCTCACAGAGCAAAAGGGTAAGTGAAGTCATTTCACTCCAGCCAGGTGAATGGGGGCGTTCAAAAGCTCCAGGATCTTGGTCTCCAATTCCAGGGCTTTGGCTGTGTTCTCTCCTTCCCCTCCCTCCCCATTCTCCCCACCTGCTCCCACCCTCAGCCCCTTCAAGACGGACTGTAGGGCATCTGCGTTCTTCACTGAGTCCATCTGGTCCCGGTCATCCCGTATCTCCTCTACCCAATCCAGGTAGGCCTTTAGCAGTCCTAGGTCGTCCACAAAGTTCCCAATGATCCGGAGCCCCGGCCGTCGATGCTCCAGCTCCCTCAGCCTCCTCTTCCCCACCTCCCCAATGTCATTTCCCACGATGCTGGGAAGGAGAAAATAATAATAACAGGTCAGACAGGATATTATCAAAGCAACAACTGTGAAATACACTAGATGGCAGTATGTCAACGGCCATTGTAACTTCAGAGAAAACTGTCAACATCAGATCAAAGTGAATTTGTCCCGTGCACAGTATACAGCAGATGTAAACAGTACAGTGAAATGCTTACTTGCAAGCTTTTCCTCAACAATGCGGTAATACTAAGTCAGATAAAATAAATAATTCAAAAAATATAATACATATCCCTCTCGTCTTTCTCTTACGTCAGCGTTTTCAGAGAGGTGTTCTTGCTGAGGCAGTTGACAATGTTCTCTGTTCCTCTCTCTGTGATGCCAGTGATGTCCAAGTAGAGTTCCTCCAGTGTAGTGTTCTGCTCCAGGGCATTCCACAGCTCCAGAACCCCTTCCGGACCCAAATTGTTACCACACATACTGTGCAAAGTAGAGGAATCAAGAGTTTAGTGTGAGAAAGAGGCATATGAAACAGTGTTAGAGATGCATTTATGTTATTTTCAGAGTCACTTACAACAGCTTCTTCACCTGACAGTCGTTTGATTTCAACACTGCAGATTGCAGGATGGCTGCCTCCCTTTCCAGACAGTTATACCGCAGACTGAGAAAAAATACAAATTATAGTTACCTACATTAATGAGTTAATTGCTATACTTCTCCTCAGCTAGTCCCTGTGAATGATCAAACATTTGCAACAGGTGGTGCAGAGCTGTGTCCCACAAGAAAAATGCTATGAATACTCACTAAAGAGATTCACAGCGGTGCAATATTGGAACTAGCCTGCTAAGACCTCTGTTTCCAATGTTGGAGTATCCCAGGTTGAGCTCCTCGAGCCTATGTGGGGAGAACTGCAACACATAGTGTAACGCTGCACAGTCCACCACACTCAGCTTCATCTTGAACAGGTTCAGACTCCGGATCTCTGGTGCCGCCCTGCTGGTGACTTCCTTCATGTGCAGCTCCATCAGACAGTGGAGCAGGTTCAGCGCCGTCTGGTTGGCTAGCTGCCTACCCTTAAACTGGTTCTGGAACCAGATACCCAGCCTGGTGGGGATATCCTCCCCCTCCATGCCCACCTCCAGAGGGGCCAGCACCAGCCCATCCAACTGCCCCCCCAGCCTGGTCCGGAGAAGCCCCATGAAGAAGCGAGTGAACATCTGCAGGTTCTCCACCCTAGTCTGGTCAAGGTGGAGGTCTTGGCTCAGTAGGGGAGTTGGGGAGGTGGAAGGTGGGGGGATCTCACCAAAGCACCAGAAGTCCAGAGCCTGGATGATGTGTCCCTGCTTTGAGAGGTTGATCGCACAGTACAGGGCGGCCAGATGCTCCTGGACGGTCAAGTGAAAGAAGGAAAACATCTCCACCCTCTCCTCTTTCAGAGGCACCAGGATCTGACTGAGGAAGGTGCTCTGTATATCTACTGGCGTGAGACCATAACGTTCCAGGTCCTGTATGTCGAACATTATCTTACTCTTTAGAAGGTTTTCGTAAGCTAATCTCCCCAGGTTTGTCAGCTGCTGCCTAACTAGAGAAAGTACCTCAGATCTGGGGGTGTTCCTCTCCGCCTTCCTTTTCAGCGCATGGTGCTTGATGGCTGTAAACAGGTAGCAGTAGTAAACCTCGCTGACTGTCCTAGGTGGGTTCAACTCTAGAGACCGTGAGTCACCATCTTCCTGACTGGAGAAGAACTCTGCCAAGGCGGTGCAGATGATATAGCAATAGAGAGGGATGAAGGAGAGCACAAAGAGGTTGTCATTGTCCAGGATGTAGTTGTACACCTTCTCAGATACCTTGGGGTCCTTGTAGAACTTGAAGGTGTACTTCTTCACCTGGTCCTCCTCGAAGCCCAGGACCACGCAGCAACGCTGGAAGAACCGCTTAGGAGCCTCCGTGGAAGGCCTGGATGTCAGGATGACAGAGGATTCTGGGAGTAGACTCCCCTTGATCAATGCCACTATCAGCTCTGACACGGGCACCTTGGAGTCCACGCTGATGTCCCTGTCAGGAGCGTTCCAGTCCAGTTGGTATTTAAACTCGTCCAGCCCATCCAGAATGAAGAGCAAGGAACCTGGCGAGGCCAGAAGCTCTGGCAGAACCGTCTTAAAGTAGCGGAAGCGGTCTCCAAGCAGGTCCAGTAAGCTCAGCGGGGCTTTGATCAGGTTCAGCTCGCGGAAGCGGAGGTCGAACACACAGGTGAACTCACGCATGTGCTTCCCCAGCGCCCACTCATAGACCAGCCTCTGCACTGCCACGCTCTTGCCGATGCCAGCGATGCCCTTCACCTTTACCCGCTTCGGGGGGCGCCCTGTGGTGCCTTGGGGGCTCAGGAGGTGGCTAGGGCAGATGCGTTGGCAGGCCTGGTGGGCGTAGATGCGTGCCCGTCGACTGGCCAAGGTGAAGTACTCATGCTGGCTGCTGTCAAATGACTCGTTGTCCTCGGTCACGAAGAGATCAGTGTATCGGATCTCAATGTGAGAAGCAGAGTTGGAGGCCTGCCCTCCCCCTTCTGCGTAAGATGTAAGTCGTTCCGTACGTTCCAGAAGGGTATTTTTGTGAGCTGAAAGGGGAACTGCAATAAAAGAGAGGCAAGTAAATTACACGCAACATGGACATACATACCTAACACAATACAATGAGATACTCAAGTCATATCTAGGGGAAATGTTGCTGCAATTTTTGTATCATAATGTCTTTATAATCAAATATTGATTCAACAATTAATTCAAGTTCAGTGCTACACAGTTTGGCCCAACTCTTAACGTTATCAACCTACCTCTGAGATGAGAAGATTTTACACTCCGCCGAGGCTTCAACTCTTCCTCAACTAAATTATCAAGACAACAATTTGAATTATACATTTGAAAGATACATTTTTTCCCACCTGGGGACTGAATACATTTAATTGTGTGATATTACTGATGTGTCAGTTGGGCACACTAGAAAGCATGTTAGTGATAATTGATTAATATCTTTAATATTGATGGAATTCATTACCTTTGACCTCAGTGGTCACAGTGAATTTGCTCTTGCCTTTGAACAGTTTTGAAATGGGGCTTTTTGGCTTCTTCTCTATAGAGATGAGAGAGAAAAAAATGCATAGATGCAAACTAGAAAAACATCAGGTTAGATGTTGTCCCAGACTTTGTTGATAATAACAGGGAAAGGTCTTTGACACTATCTGCACTTCCACCTAAGACTTACCGCACACCAGTGTGTCGCCAGTGTTTTATGCTAATGTAAGCTCGAGTGTAATTGTGTTTCCATCAGGAGTGTGACTCTAAAGACTTGGGGCGAGCAGAATCAACATCCTCTGCATCATCAAGACAGTTGCTTTGTGAGAAGAAGTTAAAGTTCACAGTTAGCCATTGTTATGTAAATGCAAGCTGGAAAGTACCAGTGGCCTAACATTGGCCCAAGGTCAGAGCATGTCCGCCAGAGCCATGGCCCAGTGAGACATGGGTGCCGGTCTGCGTAGATGGAAACAGAACATTTTGAGCCTTTTGGGTAAAACACCAGGGTAAATCTCAGATGGAAACTCGACAGAATGTCTTATCACATTGACAGAGTATTTTATTGACTACTATATACAGGCTAAATGAATTACTTTTCTATCGCTGTTCAAGGACAAGCATGTATGCAAACCGCTTGCCAGTCCAATCTGCAGTAGTTAAGACCTTGGCAAGACATTAGAGGATTTGCCACAGTCCAGAGAATTGCACTTCAGGTGAATACTACAAGCCTGAATTGACTCTGTTAATCATTTCCCCATAATGTTCAATAAGTCAATCTGACATATTTCTTCTTTATCAGCTCTTTCACTTCGCATTCAGTCACAATTAATTCATGAATTTGCCCGTTTTTCAGCATCAGGTTTGGCTCACACTGCCAATATCCTATTTTTGAATCAAACATAATCGGCAGCCTGCCTTTGGCTAAACCTCAATGACAACACTATTACAACCACCAGTAGTTTTTTTACAGATATCACAACTGCTCTGCCGCCTGGCCTGGTCACTGATCTGTTTGTGCTCTGCCAACCAATGATAATAGGAGTTGGCAGACAGCACAAGCAGATATGGGACCATGCTACAAATCCCCTGCAGCCAGGCTCACCCTCCACTCTAACCGGTGTGGCCTCCTGTGTCCCTTCCGTCCTCTCCCTGCAGTGTCTCTCCACCCAGACCTGCAGCTCATCACAGTAGTAGTCCTGCACCTTGTATTGATAAAGAGACAGTCACAGGACACCATTATGTTAGATGCAGGAACATAATTACAAAGATAACCTGATATGTTACTTACATTAAGCAGGGCATTATAAGTACTGTAGTTCATCAACATACACACCTCCCTCAGGACCTGCAGGAAGCCGCGGCTGCTCTCCTCGCTTGCGCACACCGTCTCCAGGGCCTGCGCAACGGCATTGGAGGGTGAACGCTCCAGCAGGGACAGGTAGTGGGCGTGGGAAAGTACCCCGGCGTCACATAGCCAGCGTAGTAGGGGGGCCGGGTGGACATGGGTCCACTCCAGGAGCACATCCCGCTGGGAGCGCAGGAGCTGCTGGGCTGCAGAGCTCATGAGCTATGGAGGTGTGGTGCTGCTGGTGCTGCAGATATGTTAGTGTATGGTTATGAATTAATGATGATTATGAATTGCATTTATTTACTGTATATTGCACCATTCATTAGGTTGCAAAGTACTTTATTTTGTACTAATAAGAAGACCAGGGAGAACAACTGCCCCCTCTCATTGAAGCCTAGGAAGTTCAAGCCTGACAGCGATACTGCAGGCATTGGTTGCAGAAAACAGGATCACCCACTATAGTTAATGGAAAAATGGCGATATTTGTTGTCAATCTTTGTATAAATGTTTTGAAGACCATCATGGTATCAATAATTGCATCTAATACACCAGATGTATGTCCTTAAACAGATGTTTTGTTTTTAAATGCACACAGAAGAAGTTGCTAATGGCAGCCTGCAGTACCTCGGTCGGCCTTGAAATTAAGTTATTCTATGAGACGGGGAAGCAGTGACCTAGCCTGCAACATCACTTCCTGGAGTAGCTCAAACTGCGCATGTTATGTCTCCATGAGACTCCATCCTAACCTACTTCTTTGGCTTCAATGCGCTATTGAGTCTTCACATAGGAATGAATGGTGTCATGTGATCGATTTGTTTTGTCCATCCATATACTGTATACAATCATTGAAGAAGACCAGCTAGTTAGCGCTACAGCACATCCTATATGAAAATAATCCCAAGTAAGAGAGAATTCAGAGTTTATATGGATCCTTATACAGTACATTCTAATTGCATAGCAAAAAAGTGGGTTATTGACTTTGTAGGACAAAACATCCACACCCAGTATACAAAGCCAAAAATTGTGAGGTACAAAAAACAGCAAGAGACTTGGTACAAACACTCTTCAAGCATTACGTAAGAACCCTTACCTGAACAGAAGATATTCTTACATTCACTAATGCAACCTTCAATCTTGCACACTCTTTTGACCAAATATTGTTGACTGAATGCAGGGATTGTATGGATACTCTATCTTACCTGTTGGATGGCATGAATGGGAGTGCCATGCTCAGAACTACGATAACAGAGCAGCTCAGGGAGTCCATAGTCCACAGTTCAATCATGTGTCTAGGAACCTGTTTTATCACTGTATTATTGGGTCAAATAGACTGCTTCTCAAGGCTATGATAACACTACCCATATGGAAACGATATAGAAGTATTTAACAAGATTCTTATAAGTTCTACCTGGAACTTGTGAGTAACACATATGGCAGCAAATACACTTACATGATTCATAGAAGATTCTTGTAATATATGACTTATACGGGTGGTTTGCATTTAGACAACAGAAATGGTGCATGTATTATATAAAAAACATAGAAGAGACATGTAAGCTAAGCCTTCTAAGGTCTCACATACATGGGACACACATGTCAAAGCACTTGTATACCACTGCCTGACATCATTCACACATGCAGGAGGAGAGGAAGAGAGGAGAGGAGGAGGAGGAGGAGAGGAGGAAGACAGGAGAGGGGAGGAGGACAGGGGAAAGGAAGACGAGGAGGAGAACAGGAGGAGGGGGAGGAGGAGGAGATGGACAGGAGGAGAGGAGGGGTAGGAGGACATTAAGAGGGGAGGAGGAGGAGGAGGAGGAGAAGGAATGACTTTGATAGCAGCAGTGAATCTATTTAGTTATTAAGTCTCTCAACAATCATTCGCACGATAGCACATTGGTAGTAGTCAGTGACAAATATCTAAGCTAAGCAGGGATGGGCATGGTGAAAACCCTCAATGGAAGAACAAAAGGCATAGTTGAAGATAAATCAACTGTCTAGTAGGAGGTGCTGCCCAGCGTTTAAATGAAAATGTATATATACAAATACTGTATTTTTCTTATAGTATTTGTTATGGTTTTTTACATGTTTCCCAGAATATACACTTTCTTATAATATTCATAAATGACTCATATAATTCATATACTTTGTAGGAAATTCACCGAAATCATGATTTTAATTGTGTTTGTCATATAAGACATATACTTTAAGTCAACACATATACACCACTGACATATAAGGGAAAACATACAAAAACTTACCAGATCCTTATGGATTTCTTAAATTTATATCCAGAGCAACTTACAGTTAGTGAGTGCATACATTATTTTTTTCATACTGGCCTGCCGTGGGAAACAAACCCACAACCCTGGCGTTGCAAACGCCATGCTCTACCAACATCCCTGCCGGCCATTCCCTCCCCTACCCTGGACCAATTGTGCACCGCCCCATGGGTCTCCCAGTCATGGCAGGCTACGACAGAGCCTGGATTCGAACCAGGATCTCTAGTGGCACAGCGATGCAGTGCCTTAGACCACTGCCCCACTCGGGAGTACAAGAGTCTTCTTTGATCTTCATGATTTTTTTCCATATGGGTAAGCTGAGACAACAGCACCCAGAACACTGAAAAGTACAGTAACAACAAACCATAGGTACCAAGGTAAATTCATACGTAGAATATAAGGGATATACAGAATATCCATGAGTCGACTTTGTGATTGTGAAAACCTCCTCTGATTTTGGCCCCTTTCCCAAAACGTATTGTATTGTGCTTAGAGTGATACCATGTGCTCCAGTCTACAATCTCACTCTATATGCACAATAAAGATAAACAAATAAAATAGTGATATTTTCCTTTATTTTGGTTTTGTCTGCAGTCTGGCTTCTGTTTACCTTTCCAATACAACATTGAACCGTTTTTGCTCCTGTATTAGGAGCTTGAATTGCTTTATTTTTTATATATATATATATATTTTTTTTTTTTATCTCCAAGTAACTGCTATTTTGCATCTTTAACACGGGTTGAACCCTCTCCCTCTTGATCTTTAGTCATGAAGAGTCTTTCTGACATTTATTCATTTTATTCACCTTGATCTTGACCTCTCAACACATTGTTTTTCATAGTTCTTTTCAGAACTACAGCTTCACATGAAAAACATTCCATGCAATGTTGTTTGTCCTGGCTTGTGCACTGACATCATTCAGTATATTTCTTTAAAACTAGTAATAGGAACTTTGTTGGAAGGTTCAAAATAATTGTCTGTAGCCCACTTCTGAAACGTCAATGGATAAAGTTCAGGTCACACTATTTATTTATCTTATTAATTATTAACTTTGTATTTAATTTTACAATCTACATTATCAACCTCCATTTATGCCAATATAAGATTGTTTTCCCTGCATGAATACAACGGCCTACAGCTAAAAATGAGTCGGAGTCAATGAGAAGAGATTTAGTGGTGTGAGGAAGCGGCTAACAGCATGAGTGTGAGTCACACGTCCTCATGCATCTCCTCACACAGATAACTGCTGATGTCTCTCTTTCCTTTATCTGTCACTTAGGCAATGGAATCCTCCATCTCAGGGGTTATGGGCCTCTTTTAAAATGGCTGATTGTATTAACAGTTATTCTTCTCATACGAGTGTAGGATCATCATTTACTGTATTTTCACCTTGCACTGCGCAGACACACAATGTATCATAAGCCAATAGCAAGTGGTGTGCCAGTGTGTATTATAGGCCTATGTATTACAATAATGTCATTACAAATTATGATATTATATGAGATGTATTTGAAATGCGTTAGCTTAACTATTTAGTATTGTAAACCATTGGGGAAATCATTAGGGGTCATAAAATAAATTAATGTCACCATGACATTATGAAACCAAAACAACTTCCTCCTCTCCTCTTCTTCCATCACACCATCCTTCCCTCTGCTGTGTCTGTTGAGCATGCTTCTAGTCATGTGTCCAGACAGAATGCTCCTGCTGTGTACTGTGATCTTTGGTGAGTTGCTTATGATGTTATATTTAAATACTAACTGCCATTTTTTTTTTTATGTGAAGAGCCTTATCACTAGGATAATAGGGATAGTAAAAAATGTTATCTTAACAACACCCCAACTAACTGTAAAATGGTCACCTGCTTACGTTGACGTAACATTACATATAATGCAACATTGAGATTTTACCAGTGATCCTGTTTGGTCTTGTGGCATTTTAACATAAAGTGAGGGATATTTTCATAAATATATATTTTTTAGATATGACGAAAATGAAACTGTTTAAACTGAGCTGTAGAGCAGTTTGCCCCATGCATTGAGGCACAGGCCTACTATAAAAAGAGGGGAAATGATTACTGTACAATTCTATCCATTAATTGATGCAATTGTGTGTTCAACAATATAAGGGGTGAGAAAATAAGTCAGTAAATCACAGAGACCATGTTAGTGCAGTAGGATGATAATGCTAGCAAAGCAAAGCATGCCCCTTCCCCCTTTCTTAATTTAACTCTATTGTGAAATGTCCCACCATGTCACATTGTGCCAGTCTGCCCGGCAACAAACAGCTGGACAGAGAGTAATTATGATTATAATTTAAAAAAGTATTTTATTTTATTTAATTTCATTGATAATTGAATGTACTGTGAACACAATGTTATTCCTCCATAGCATTACTTTAGGATGTAGTTTTAACCAGGAGTGGTTATCTGTTGGATGCTATGTGTTACTTGTGTTCTGTTATAGTGTGGTGCTACTATTTTTACTTGTACAATATCTTCTTCACATCTACCAGACAGTGACATAGTTGCACAGTCACATTGTTGTACTACAGGGCTTTAACTTTTGATATAGCTCATGTCTTCTCTACTACTTCATCCCAACAGGCTTGTGGAGGGACACCCATGCTGTGTCGCCCGTGCCCTCTGTCCCAAACAGTGTCCCTGCCTTGGCAGGCTCCTGCGTGGCCATCCCCTGCTCCTTCACTCCTCCAGCCTCTCACTCCGTCCTGGGCAGGCAGGGAAAGAAGGTGGGCGTGAGGCTGCGCTACAGGACTAGTCACTACCTCCCCCTGCGGAGAACAGCTTTCAGTACAGATGACAAATCCAAAGTCAGCAAGGAGTTCCTGGGCCGGACATCCTTACGGGGAAACACGGACGATGGAGACTGCTCTGTAATGATTGACAGGGTCCACCTGGCTGACTCCTATGTCTATGAGCTGTCGCTGAAGGGCCGTGGACAGAAAGACTGGGGGGAGGCGAGGAGTGTCGAACTCGTTATGTCAGGTGAGAGGGATCCCATCTCACAGAATTACATACACTTGAGTATACCAAACATTTGGAACACCTTCCTAATATTGAGTTGCACCCTTCCTTTTGCCCTCAGAACAGTCTCAATTCGTCGGGGCATGGACTCTACAAGGTGTCGAAAGCGTTCCACAGGGATGCTGGCCCATGTTGATTCCAATGCTTCCCACAGTTGTGTCAAGTTGGCTGGATGTCCTTTGGGTGGTGGACCATTCTTGATTCACATGGGAAACTGTTGAGCGTGAAAAACCCAGCAGCGTTGCAGTTCTTCACACAAACTGCCTGGCACCTACTACAATACCCAGTTCAAAGGCACTTAAAGCTTGTGTCTTGCCCATTCACCCTCTGAATGGTACACATACACAATCCATGTCTCAATTGTCTCAAGGCTAAACATCTATTTTTAACCTGTCTCCTCCCCTTCATCTACACTGATTAAAGTGGATTTAACAGGCGATATCAATAAGGGGATCATAGCTTTCGCCTGGATTCACCTGGTCAGTCTATGTCATGAAAGAGCAGTTGCTTAATGTTTTGTATCCTCAGTGTATTTATTGTTATTTAACAGGATCTCTGTGTCTCATCTCTTATTATATAGTAGAGATAAAGTAACTGCTATCCTTTTCGTTGTTATATAAGATAGTTATTTTATATGGCTCATGTTAAAACACCAATCTACCAATTTTTACACAACCTGAGTTGAATTATCCCTAATGCTAATGGACTAAATCAAACAAAATATTTACTTTATCCTCATTTAGACTATGTTCATCAGGTCAGTTCTTATCTCTCTTTGTCCCCCTCACTGACAGACTCCCCAGAACTCCCAGTGATCAGCGGTGTGGGGGCAGCGGCAGAAGGACAGGTGGTTTCACTAAACTGCAGCATCAGTTACTCCTGTCCCTCCCAGGCCCCCACCCTCCAGTGGCGGTGGGAGAGAGGAGCCCAGGAGAACAACATCGAGTACGGGGAGCCGCAGGTACTCCAGACCCAGGGCCAGAGGCCTACACTACGGGCCTCTCTCACCTTTACCGCATCGTACCGCATCAAACCCAGAATGAGGTGTGAGGCAGTATATCCAGGAGAAAGAAGAGTATACACCGTAAAGGAGCTCCATGTGACATGTATGTACTTTTCTATATAAAGTTACGATTGTGTGCAATGCTAAGCCATTGATATTGAAACCAGGGCCCATTTTCACAGTGTTTCAGAGTGCTGATCTAGGATCAATTTTTACTTATAGATTGTAATGAATAAGATTATATAGGCTGGGGGGGGTGATGCTTCATGAATACTGGCCTTGATTGCTATTGTATCTCTCCTCCAGTCCCTCCAAAAGATGTCACAGTCCAGGTCCATACCTTGACTGTCCAGGAGGGGGTGAACGTGTTGCTGGCCTGCTCCTGTAAAGCTGACCCGCCTGTGTCCGTGTACAGGTGGTCATACACCCAACATGGGCTAACTGTAAACCTTCACCAGCGCACACACATGGTCAGGGTGTACAACGTGACCCGAGACCTGAGGGTCCGCTGCACAGCCCAGAACCTAATTGGACAGGCAGAGTCCAAACCGACTTCCTTAAACATTCAATGTAAGCATTCTGTAGAGTCAATGTTTGATAGGTTATTTGCTTCCAATTCCTGGGTATGGATTTAAACTGCTGCTATTTGTACAGTTGTACACTTTACATTGTGATACAAGAACAATATTTTGAATTGAGAAGTTCTTGAAATATGGTGTCATAACCTCTAAGGTAAGACCCCTTTACAGTAGGTCCCAGGGACTCTAACATCCCTGATCCTTCTATGATGCTGCCTCTTTCTCTCTTTCGCTTTCTCGCTTCTCTCTCTCTCTCTCTCTCTCTCTCTCTCTCTCTCTCTCTCTCTCTCTCTCTATCTCTCTCTCTCTCACCCTCCCTTCTTCTATCCCCCAGACAAGCCTGTCATCCTCCATCTCTCCTCCTCCTGTGTTGTGGAGAGGTTGGAGGTTCTGTGTCGCTGTTCTGTGGACTCCAACCCCCGGCCTGCCGTAACCTGGAGTGTCAACGGTAGTGTTCCACCATACAGTTACAACACATCAGTAAGCTCAGAGAACGGTACACTAACAGCCATGCTGAGGGGCCACATGGACACTCCACTGATGGTAGTCTGCTTTGCCATTAATGCACTGGGCAACGACTCCCACACACTGCTTCAGGCAGAGGACGGTAAGCATCGGGGCACCACACCACACAAGTTAAATACAATGGTGCATCTCAATTGTATTTTCTTGACTCCTCGCTTCCTCTCTCCTCGCTTCCTTCTCTAAACGCATTGGAAGAGAAGGTCAGAGGAAAGGAACCTCTGACCTTCTCCTCCCATGCATTTTGAGAAGAAGGCGAGGATCGAGGACATGTGGAAACAGGGAAACACAATTGAGATGCACACACATTATACATTGTGTGTTGTAGGCAGCATCTGCACTATGAGTAAAACATGAGGATGAAATACTAAGCATGAATCATTCATGGTCACTTAGGCCTATACTTTCAGATGATTCTTCATGAATTCATTAATGGTTCCTGTAATGTCACTGGTTGGTTGACCTGTTCCAATAGTATACTATAATAATACAGTATAATATAAGATAATAAAATAATCTGTTGAAGGTTGAAGAGCTAAAAAAGTGTTCTCCTGTTTTTACATTGTTTTTGTTGTTGACTGACAGGTTCTCTGCTGTGGAAAGTGATACCTGCAGTATGCATCTCTTTGGCCACCTTCCTCCTCTCTCTACTCCTCCTGTTCTGCTGTCGAAAGAGGTCCGAAAAGTAAGAAACACATTTTCTGAGACTTAGTTGTCTCTGTCTTCTCTAACGTCTGCCAACATTGTGCCTCAGTTACTTCAGGTGGCTTACAAACTTGGAATAGCCAAATGATATACCAGTACATCAAACATATGTTGTTTCATTTAAGATACCATTGAATAGAATTATGAAAGAGGAACTATTCATTCACATGTAAAACCGTTCTAAGAGGATAAATATTTAATCTTAAAAGTAGATGTTTCATTATGATGTCCTCTCTAATCCAAACTCTTGTCTTTGTCTTCTTTCCTTAAAGTCGTGTGCTGACCAGTAGACCTCCTATGTATCCTGGGGACATGGGGATCTACCAGGATCGGATGCCCCTCTACATCAACTGCACTGAGGTCACCAACATCTACACCAATGGCAGCTACCAGCTGGTTTACCAGAACTGCACCCCTCTTTTTGTCCGGACCAAACAGGTACACCTGCTGTTCTGTGCCAAAAATATAATTTTGCTTGTAAATGGGTATGTTACAATACAATACAATACAATGCAATACAATAGCTCTATTATCCATTGAAACATAAATGTCCAATGAAATGGTGTGATTAACCACATGATGTTGTGTCCCAGACACATCCGATGGGGAGGCGAGGTGGGGAGAGACGAGGTGGCGAGAGGAGAGGGGGAGAGAGAAGAGGAGGTGAGAGACGAGGATGGGAGAGAAGAGGAGGAGAGAGGCAAGGGGGCATGGTGGACAGAGGAACAAGAGACAGACAAAGCCCTGCCTCCACTGACACTAATACTGAAACAGCTATCTACCTGGAGATCATCTGAGTTCATGTCTCAGTGAGGTACGTCATGGATAGCTCTGGTCCAGATCGTTAGCAATAACGGCTTGGACCAGAGCTATGTCATGGAGTGTAAGAGAGCTCTTACAGTGTATAACAAGACAAAATGCAGCATGCACTTACTGCTTGACTGGTGAAGATAATGGCACAATGATATCATATTCACTTGATATAATTTTGCATGATCATACATACAGTACCAAGTAGTTATGCAAAATTATACCAAATGGGTTAAGTGGCATGATTTGATATGATGATTTGTACATGTGCTCCATGAAATACTACTGTACATTTATATTATCATTCGCTCATTTTGATATTATATATTTATAACTTTGTGTACATAATTGTAGGTTTAGCAGTCCTAGCTACTTCATCAGTGCACATACTTTGTGGCTTATGAAGATAATGGTGCACACATGATATTCACCTATTCCATACAGTCCATTTTTCATCATTACATGTATAATGTCTGTATAATGATATTCTAGATGGGATGAACATGATTGTATGATGTGATGATGATAAAGGTTTTAGACAAACTTCTCTTATAAAACAATCACTTTAGTAGATGCTTTATATGAAGGTGCCTCCCAACCTGACCCTGTACTCAAGAAGATTGATTGTCACTAAAGCAAAAAAGCCATTCGTAGCTACACTAACAAACTATTTCATATGCTTCCATATGTATGTTCTGGTTCTACATTCATGTGACAAAATAAAGCTTTTTTCTGTGCTTTTAATGTTGATAAGAATGTATACCCTCTCTCTTTTTAATATTTTGTTTTACTACCGACATGAAATACAACCCAGTAAGTGGCAGAGAAACCCCCATACTGGTTGCAATATACAGTATCATACATCATCCCGTGAGAGCTTTTGTTCCGAACCTACTATGGTGTTTCAGGTGCCAAGTTTATGGTCATGTTGCAACAGTATGTAGGAGGGAGATTCTGAGGTGTGAAAGTGTGCAGAGGGGCATGGGACAAAGGAGTGTGTAGTTTCAGTGGGAAAAGTAGAGTGTTTCAATTGTGGGGGTGGCCATGTTGCTGGGGATCAGAAATGTCCTGTGCGAGTGAGACAGGTTGAAGTGTCCAGGGTGCAAGCAGTGCAGAACGTGTCGTATGCTGAGGCAGTGAAGAAAGCAGAGGATGGTGGGCAAAGGGCGAGGGAGCCTGAGAGGATCCCTGTGAGTAGTAGGCCAGTACAGAGTGACCCAAACAATTTGTGTTTTAGTAAGGTTGACTTCTTGGCGTTTATTGCTATGGTCATTAATTGTACCACACAGATGGAAAGGAAATCCCAGAAGATTGAATTGGTAGTAGCAGCAGATACGTTTTTTGGAGTCAGAGATTTTAGCGCAGAAGAACTACAGGGGGGTTTGAGAGAAGGGGTTCCAGCCTCCCAGGTCAAAAGTAGTGGGAAGGGGTGGTGGAGTGTGTTGGGGATAGTGGTATATACTGTATATGTATAGGGTTAGATGGTGGTGCAATTTCCTTTTTTCCCCATTTCCCTTTTTTTGTAAACAATGTGCAATGCAATTTTCGAACTGTGAATGGCAGCAATACGCAACAAAGCGTCTAGTCTGCCGGAAAACCACACAAAGAAGAAGAAGAAGAAGTAGAAGAAGAAGAAGTAGAAGAAGAAGAAGAAGAAGAATCAACTGTTTTGATTGGCTAAATAAAATGTAAACCGGAAGTTACGTCAGAGGTTGTGAATCGAGAGGGATTTTGGTACGAAATTCAGTGGTCACGGTTCAACCTCAAAATACGTTTTGGCTGTTATTGTCTGCCTTTACATTAGAATCAAATTCACAGGGAAGTTAAATACAATGCAGAGAACACAGAAAATGTCAAACAGTGTACTTCTATGGAGTATTTAGAGCCGTTTTGCTTTCTATAAACTAGCTATGAACGTGTTCCATTGTTTGCTACCCAGCCAATTGCTAACTAGCTAGCAAGCGTATAGCTTTTGATAGCTGAAAAAACACAAATAAAGAGGCACCACAAGTCAAGTGACTAACGCAAAATGCCGGAGATAAAACTTAAGCACGTCGTGTCTTGCAGCACCGAAGACAATGTAAGTTGTCCAACTACTAGCTAGGCTAATTAGCTAGTACATTAGCCTGCTTGATAGCTTCCTGACGTGTTAGCTAGCTAGGTTTGCTTGCTGTCTGATTGAGAGATCATGTTTACTGTTTAGCCCTCTATATGAGCAGTCTGCACATGGCTTTTTTGCAGCCCACCAGAACAGAAATAATCATTGTGACCGTACTGTACAGTATTTGCATGCACCCTTCGAAGTAGTTAGTTAACTACACTTCCCAGTCATTTGTTGTTAAAAATGTATCTTGAATGTAAACAGTAACTCCTATTTCCAGTGGTAACAACACCAGTTGGCAATTGTAGTTCATAGGGTCCTAGCTATTCTTGTTGTTTCCTTGCAGACTCACAAGGCTGACAACCTGCTGAGCTCAGACACATACAGGAAATGGAAAGCAGCAAGGCCAGGGGAGAAACAAACCTCAGTCATTATACAGGTAAGTAGGCTACTTCTCCTCCGCTCTGTGTTTTCATGGGATTGTGTAACAATTCACTGACTCCAATTCACACAGCAAATTTGTGGGTGTTAAATCTCAGTGTTGAGGTCAAAAATGTTGTGAGTGTTATATCTTAGTGTTGATTCTAGTGGTGTTAACACCAGTGGGATTTAAATTGACGCAACCTGCAATGAATAAATGAAGTGTTATTTGAATCACAGTGGAATCAACACTGCATGTCATTACTCGACTGTGGTTAATTTCATTTAACTCATATTTCCCAGCATGCTTTGTTGCGGGTTGACTTTCAGAATGGTTTGTTTTAATATATACTGTATGTTTCTGCATGCACATTCATTAATTGATCTAAGATAAATAACCTACATTTTCCTAAAATATTCCAATCTGTGTGGTTGGACTTATTGCACCCGTTACTGAGATGGTTGTTCCAGTTTAGATGTTTTAGGTAGTCTTGTTTGACGAGTTCTTCACCATAGCAGTCATTCTGAATGCAGATTGTGGGTGATAAATTGTTGAATATCCTCCCTATTAGGGGTGTGAACGTTAAAACGTTTAAACAAAATTTGGATCCTCAACCTTAAGAAACTATCCCTAACTGAATAACTACCACTAACAGGTCCCAATCATCATCATAAAGGGAAAATAACAATTAAATAAATACCTAACGCAACAATGTAACGTTAGTAGGAGGAAAAAAAGCAGAGCAGCAGCTCAAATGTGAGTGACAAGGGGAGCAGGGAGTGGGAGAGGGTTGGCAACCAAGTCGACTCGTGCTGGTAGACTACTTATTGCTAGTTATTTATCATCTCATCTAATTACTTCAGGGCTCTCCAACCCTGTTCCTGGAGAGCTACCCTACTGTAGGTTTTTCGCTCCAACCCCAGTTGTAACTAACCTGATTCAGCTAATCAACCAGCTAATTCTTATAATTAGGTGCGCTAGATTAGGATTGGATTGAAAACCTACAGGACAGTTGCTCTCCTGGAACAGGGTTGGAGAGCCCTGGATTACATAGTACCTGTTTTGACTGCATCAAACCAAGAGAAGCAAGCTAGGCAGCTAGCTAGCTAGCTAACGTTAACTAGGCTAATTGAAACTACATAACTTTAACTATGCGCTTTCTCGCTTTCTAAATCCTACAGTAAATAACAACTCCATTCAGATTATAGTAGCAGCCTACCTGTTGGGTCTTGGTGTTGTAGTCTGTCCTTCTCATTTAACTTTTAGTTTGTCATTTTAATTTAATCTTCCATTGATTAGCCGAGATATCTCCTAATAACTTAACACAGGCTCTAGCTGTATGACTGTAGCCTAGTGCCGGTTTGATGACTTGTAATTGGATGACAAAAACAACAAGCTACACGCGCCACACGTGAAAAGCAAGAGCAGCAGCGATACCATTTTCTCTCTCTGCAGGAAGCATGATGTAGACCATCTGCATTGTGAATTCAAATATAATTTTATTAAACGTTCTTATAGTTTTAACGGAAAATCGATAAATATCTGTTTAAATGACAAGAATAAATTTCCAAATGTCCCTGTGGCTGGATTCCAATACATTTACATTTGATATTTTAGTCATTTAGCAGACACTCTTATCCAGAGCGACTTACACTTAGTGAGTGCATACATTTTCATACTGGCCCCCCGTGGGAATTGAACCCACAACCCTGGCGTTGCAAACGCCATGCTCTACCAACTGAGCTACACGGGACTAGAAATGAAAAATTACTTCACAAGCCAGCATATTCAAATCAAATCAAATTTTATTTGCCACATGCGCCAAATACAACAGGTGTAGACATTACAGTGAAATGCTTACTTACAAGCCCTTAACCAACTATTCATAAAAATCAAATAAAAAAGTAAAAATAAAAAAGCAAATAACTAAAGAGCAGCAGTAAAATAAAATAACAGTAGGGAGGCTATATACAGGGGGGTATCGGTGCAGAGTCAATGTGCGGGGGCACCGGCTAGTCGAGGTAATTGAGGTAATATGTATGAGGTAATATGTACATGTGGTTAAAGTGACTATGCATAAATAATAAACAGAGTAGACAGAGTAGCAGCAGCGTAAAAGAGGGGGTGGGGGGGGCAGTGCAAATAGTCCGGGTAGCCATGATTAGCTGTTCAGGAGTCTTATGACTTGGGGGTAGAAGCTGTTGAGAAGCCTTTTGGACCTAGACTTGGCGCTCCGGTACCGCTTGCCATGCGGTAGCAGAGAGAACAGTCTATGACTAGGGTGGCTGGAGTCTTTGACAATTTTGAGGGCCTTCCTCTGACACTGCCTGGTATAGAGGTCCTGGATGGCAGGAAGCTTGGCCCCAGTGATGTACTGGGCCGTACGCACTACCCTCTGTAGTGCCTTGCGGTCGGAGGCCAAGCAGTTGCCATACCAGGCGGTGATGCAACCAGTCAGGATGCTCTCGATGGTGCAGCTGTAGATCTTTTTGAGGATCTGAGGTCCCATGCCAAATATCTTCAGTCTCCTGAGGGGGAATAGACTTTGTCGTGCCCTCTTCACGACTGTCTTGGTGTGTTTGGACCATGATAGTTCGTTGGTGATGTGGACTCCAAGGAACTTGAAGCTCTTAACCTGTTCCACTACAGCCCCGTCGATGAGAATGGGAGCGTGCTCAGTCCTATTTTTTTTCCTGTAGTCCACAATCATCTCCTTTGTTTTGATCACGTTGAGGGAGAGGTTATTATCCTGGCACCACACGGCCAAGTCTCTGACCTCCTCCCTATAGGCTGTCTCATCGTTGTCGGTGATCAGGCCTACCACTGTTGTGTCGTCTGCAAACTTAATGATGGTGTTGGAGTCGTGCCTGGCCATGCAGTCATGGGTGAACAGGGAGTACAGGTCGTGGCAAAATGTCTTAAGGACAACAAAGTCAAGGTATTGGAGTGGCCATCACAAAGCCCTGACCTCAAGCCTATAGAAAATCTGTGGGCAGAACTGAAAAAGCGTGTGCGAGCAAGGAGGCCTACAAACCTGACTCAGTTGCACCAGCTCTGTCAAGAGGAATGGGCCAAAATTCACCCAACTTAAATTGTGATTTGCAGGTCTGATATGGCCCATGAGCCAGGTTTTTCAGACCACAGTGTTGGGGGGAAACTAGGCCATAACTAAATGCCTTATGAAATGTATAATGTATGGTCATAAAGGGTTTACTTTTAATTTGAACATGATTAAAAAATAAACAGAACGTAGCTAAGCACAGGCAAAATCCTAGAGGGAAACCTGGTGCAGTCTGCTTTCCATCAGACACTGGGAAATCAGTTCACTTTTCAGCAGGATAATAACCTAAAACACAAGGCCAAATCTACACTGGAGTTGCTTACCAAGAAGTCAGTGAATGTTCCTGAGTGTCCGAGTTACGGTTTGGACTTAAATCTACTTGAAAATCTATGGCAAGACCTGACAAATGGTTGTCTAGCAATGATCTGCAACCAATTTGACAGAGCTTGAAGAAATGTTTAAAGAATAATGGGCAAATGTTGCACAATCCAGGTGTGGAAAGCTCTTAGACATTCCCAGAAAGACACAGTTGTAATCGCTGCCAAAGGTGCTTCTACAAAGTATTGACTCAGGGGGGTGAATACTTATGTAAATTAGCTATTTCTGAATTTCATTATTTTTTTAATTCAAAAATGTCTAAAAACATGTTTTCTATTTGTCATTATGGAGTATTGTGTGTAGATGGGTGAGAAAATAACAAAACAATTTAATACATTTTGAATTCAGGCTGTAAGTTACACAACAAAATGTGGAATAAATCAAGGGGTATGAATACTTTCTGAAGGCATTGTAACACTTCCCATTGCCCTGTTTGTTTTTTCCTAGTTTGTACTAAATAACCCATGCTGTTTCCCCCATCGTTTCAGTTTGAGAAAGAAGAGCAGGTGCACAGCATAGACATAGGAAATGAAGGGTCTGCTTTTATTGAGGTGCTGGTGGGACACTCAACCTCTGTCAAAGACCAGGACTATGAGGTATGCCACCCCCTTACTGTACATTGTAGTACCTCTATACCTCGCTGATGTCTACCACACTGAATGCACTGAGTGAAGATACTAGTCTCTGCCTCTTATTATGGACAATACTACCATTACTTATAGTGTGCTGCTTAATTCCTAAGAGAACCTCTCCCTCCCAGGTTCTGCTGGTCACGTCCTCCTTCATGTCCCCCACGGAGAGCCGTAACGGCACCAACACCAACCGGTGTACGCTTCTTTGGCCCTAACCAGCTGGTGAAGGCTCAAGCCCAGGAGAAGTGGGACCGCGTGAAGATTGTGTGTAGCCAGCCGTACAACAAGGTGAGCTGCACAGCACCAAGAGAGAACATTAGTGGACAGAGAGCATTGTGTGTGTATGTCATGCCACCTAAATCAATGTAAACCAGGGTCGTATTCATTAGGCAGCAAATGGACTGAAACAGGGGAGGGACTACCTACACTTGTCCAATAAGAAATGTCAATTTTCGTACTCCGTTGCGAAACGTTTACAACCCTGGCGATGCGTTATTAGTCAAGTTATGTGAAAAGTTCAGCTAAGGCTGCGACGGTCTTGGAATTTGAGGTTACGGTAATTGGCCTGGCCAATGTACACGGTCACCGACATAACGGGGGGGTATGCTTCTTAATAAAACCTATTTGAAACAAGCCATTACACTTCGTTATTATCATGGCATTTCATTATTATTATTCTTGTTATTACTTATTAACGGAGTCAAAATAAAGATTTATGCCTGCCCTGAATAATGTTTTTTTATACAGATCCTATTTCGACACACAACCATTGAAATGAAGTCGGATGGGTTTTCTACCACTTTCCCCGAAATATTCGTATAACGTCACAATCCCTGCGGCTGTCATTCGATGGCATTGGCATATGTTCTTCGAAGAGAGAAATAATGTAGCCTAAGCTACTGAAAATAGGCCTTTTACAAGATTAGATCATGACAGGAGCGTTTGATTTTTATTAAAGAGATTGAGTCCAGGCAGGCTACTTTAGGTAACTTTCTGAATGGACATACAGGCCTATAGAGCCCCACAGTGGAGGTGTCATAATACCCATAAAACCTAGTGGTCAAACAGGGAAATGGTTCCAATTGTTTTTCCACCATTCATTTTTCCCATAGTTTTTTTTTAGAAACACTTCAAATAAGGGCTGTGTTTTGTGTAGGCTTACCCTGGCGTGACGTTTTGATAACCATGTAAATCTCTCTGGACAAAGTGACTTTTATCAATGTATTCGGCTCTATTTACTCTCCAATTTCAAAGTAGACATTATGCAAAACTACAAATCCCTACGTCATCTCTAGCTGACACCTTTGCTAACATGTAAACTTGCACAAGACAGTTCACAGAATTGTACATTTAAAGAAATGTAGCCAATTTTTTTCATTACTACATTTAGCTAACATTAGATAGTTAATCCAGAGATTCTTACCTTTGCCTCGATTCGTCAGTCTCGTCCAGATCATCATGGCATTTGTAGTTCTTTATGATAGCCCCATTAGCAGCTAATTAGCATTTCATTTTTGGGGGGTAAATGCAGGCAAATATATTTATAAAAGTCACCTTGTCCTAGAGAGATTTACACGGTTATCAAAACGTCATGCCAGGGTAAACCTACACGAAACACAGCCCTTATTTGAAGTGTTTCTAAAATGAATGGTGGAAAAAATGATTGGAACCATTTCCTTGTTTGACCGCTAAGTTTTATGGGTATTATGACTCATTCTGTGGTACTCTATTGAGAGAATCAGCTAACCCACACACGCACACCCCCGTAAAAGCACCCGTCAATCAAAGCCACCAGTGTATGTCAGACCCAAGCAAATATTTTTCAGACCTTAAAACGTATAAAAAAACTTAGGCCTACCTTACGCTTTCCGAAAGTAGGCTATAATATAATGAAAGAAAGTATGAAGGGGACAGCTATGCTATAATATGAAGATTAAATTGACAATCCTTAAAATAGAAACAAATACCCGCAACAGCCTATTTACCAACAACGTTGATTATCGAGGGGGAGAGTGTTGGAAAGATTTCTCAAATATTGTGAGGAACTATTATAATTTGAATGGATGAAAAAAATGTAACTGACTTCGTTGACTTCCTAATGTGAGGTGAAGAAAGAAGCCCAGCTGGGCACTTTCCTACATTTTGACATTTACAAGAAGCAGGACAGGTATACTATATATACAAAAGTATGTGGACACCCCTTCAAATTAGTGGATTCGGCTATTTCAGCCACACCCGTTGCTGACAGGTGTATAAAATTGAGCACACAGCCATGCAATCTCCATAGACAAACATTGGCAGAAGAACGGCCTTACTGAACAGCTCAGTGACTTTCAACGTGGCACTGTCATAGCATACCACCTTTCCAACAAGTCAGTTCATAACATTTCTGCCCTGCTAGAGCTGCCCCAGTCAACTGTAAGTGCTGTTATTGTGAAGTGGAAACGTCTAGGAGCAAAACGGCTCAGCCGCAAAGTGGTAGGCCACACAAGCTCACAGAACGGGACCTTCGAGTGCTGAAGCGCGTAGCGTGTAAAAATCATCTGTTCTCAGTTGCAACACTCACTACTGAGTTCCAAACTGCCTCTGGAAGCAATGTCAGCACAATAACTGTTTGTCGGGAGCTTCATGAAATGGGTTTCAATGGCCGAGCAGCCGCACACAAGCCTAAGATCACCATGCGCAATGCCAAGTGTCAGCTGGAGTGGTGTAAAGCTAGCCGCCATTGGACTCTAGAGCAGTGGAAACGCGTTCTCTGGAGTGATGAATCACGCTTCGCCATCTGGCAGTCCGACGGACCAATCTGGGTTTGGCGGATGCCAGGAGAACGCTCCCTGCCCCAATGCATAGTGTCAACTGTAAAGTTTGGTGGAGGAGGAATAATGGTCTGGGGCTGTTTTTCATGGTTCGGGCTAGGCCCTTTAGTTCCAATGAAGGGATATCTTAACGCTACAGCATACAATGACATTTTAGACGATTCTGTGCTTCCAACTTTGTGGCAACAGTTTGGGGAAGGCCCTTTCCTGTCTCAGCATGACAATGCTCCCGTGAAAGCAAGGTCCATACAGAAATGGTTTGTTGAGATCGATGTGGAAGAACTTGATTGGCCTGCACAGAACCCTGACCTCAGCCCCATCGAACACCTTTGGGATGAATTGGAACGCCGACTGCAAGCCAGGTCTAATCTCCCAACATCAGCGCCCGACCTCACTAATGCTCATGTGGCTGAATGGACGGTAGGCTACCACATGGGCATTCATAAAAGTGCATTGCGGGCGACACTGTTTATATAGCTTAGGCTGCTATTATACTTTGTGGGGGTAGGCCATGTTTTTGGTCTCACCTAGAGCGGCATATCGGCCAGGACCGGGCCTGATCAGAGTTGATTAGTCTATAAATTAAGAAAATATTCTGTGTCAAATTATACCATGGCAAGTTGGAGAGGATTGGCGCATTGTTCATTTGACACATTAGTGCATTATAGGCCTCATATCCAGAACAACGTTGTCGACTGCTGTTGAATAATTAATGAATAGTCAAGACACATCCAACCTTTTTTAAAAGAACCATTTATTTATTTACTAGCAAAGCAATGAAAGCGTGCATTGTATAAAAGAATCAAATATGTTTTTTACTGAAGTGCCATAGCCTACACCGCCGCGCATCTAGGGATTAGCTGCTCAAACATCAAAGGACAGTTGGAAAGAGGAGGAGATGTAGAACATTTAGTAGACAGACTGTTAGCAAAACATTTGCTTATAATCATTAGTAAACTCCTGCTATTAGGTAAAGTTTATCTACATGAAAAGAATGTTAATAAAACATTAAAAAAATCCTATAATGAATGTAGGCCTATTTAAATGGTTTTGACGGTTATTTTAATGACAGTCTATATCCATAACCGTCAGTTACACGGTTATTCAGTTACTGTCACAGCCCTAGTCTCAGCACAGTTCCTATTGAATACACTTAGGAAAATGATTCAGATTGGAATGACATGACAACAAATGGCATTTTCCACCCTCAGAGCATAGCATACGGAGTGGCCTTTGTGAAGTTCCATTCACCACCAGACAAAAGTGATCCACCAACCACAACACCCCCGGTAAGAGATGCTCAGCCGCCATCTTTAACCTTCTTCTACATAACCCTCTCTCCACTGAGACTGACGCAATAGACTCATTCACTATATAAATATATATATATATATATATATATATATATTCAATTGATTAGACATGATTTGGAAAGGCGCACACCTGTCTATATAAGGTCAAAAATCAAGCCATGAGGTTTAAGGAATTGTCCGTAGACAGGATTGTGTCGAGGCACAGATCTGAGGAAGGGTACCAAAACATTTCTGCAGTATTGAACATCCCCCAAAACACAGTGGCCTCCATCACTCTTAAATGGAATAAGTTTGGAACCACCAAGACTCTTCCTAGAGCTGGCCATCCGGCCAAACTGAGCAATCGGGGGAGAAGGTCCTTGGTCAGAGAGGTGGCCAAGAACCCGATGGTCACTCTGACAGATCTCCAGAGATCCTCTGTGGAGATGGGTGAACCTTCCAGAAGGACAACCATCTCTGCAGCACTCCACCAATCAGGCCTTTATGGTAGAGTGGCCAGACGGAAGCCACTCCTCAGTAAAAGGCACATGACAGCCCGCTTGGAGTTTGCCAAAAGGCACCTAAAGGACTCTGAGACCATGAGAAACAAGATTCTCTGGTCTGATGAAACCAAGATTGAACTATTCGGCCTGAATGCCAAGCATCACGTCTGGATTAAACCTGGCACCATCCCTACGGTGAAGCATGGTGGTGGCAGCATCATGCTCTGGGGATGTTTTTCAGTGGCAGGGACTGGGAGACTAGTCAGGATCGAGGGACAGATGAATGGAGCAAAGTACAGAGATCCTTGATGAAAACCTGCTCTAGAGCGCTCAGGACTTCAGACTGGGGCGAAGGTTTAGCTTCCAACAGAACAACAACCCTAAGTACACAGCCAAGACAACGCAGGAGTGGCTTCAGGACAAGTCTCTGAATGTCCTTGAGTGGCCCAGCCAGAACCCGGACTTGAACCCGATCGAACATCTCTGGAGAGACCTAAAAATAGCTGTGCAGCGACGCTCCCCATCCAACCTGACAGAGCTTGAGAGGAACTGCAGAGAAGAATGGGAGAACCTCCCCAAATACAGGTGTGCCAAGCTTGTAGCGTCATACCCAAGAAGATTTGAGGCTGTAATTGCTGCTAAAGGTGCTTCAACAAAGTACTGCGTAAAGGGTCTGAATACTATGTAAACGTGATATTTCAGTTTTAATTTTAATACATTTGCAAAAATATCTGAAAACCTATTTTTGCTTTGTTATTATGGGGTATTGTGTGTAGATTGATGAGGAAAATAAACAATTTAATCAATTTTAGAATAAGGGTGTAATGTAACAAAACATGAAAAAAGTCAAGGGGTCTGAATACTTTCTGAATGCACTGTAAATCCATATGCCACCATCTGTTGCGCAGATCCAGTAATATGCTTCAACCCCAAATGAATGGGCACTGTTTTATTTCTTCATTAGATGGTGCTTGTCTTTCCCATTTAATTTGGGATTTAGGCATATAACTGGATCCACACAACAGATGGGATAGGCTGTGGACTCATCTAGAGAGTAGACAACTTTTTTGCAAAAATGTCTTTGATTTGAGTGAACGAACTTGAATTCATACCATAAAAAATTATATTTATGTGCACTGTCCTGTGCTTTCCTAACATGACTCACTGGTCAGACTCACTCTCTCCCAACACTAACGTCTCTCTTGCCCCCTGACAGAAGTTGACCAAGCTGGGCCAGTTTCGGATGAAGGATGAGTCCCCCTTGGCTGGCCCCAGTCTACAGCCAGGCAGCCTCTTCTTCAACAGAGAGAGCACCTCCAAACCCAGCCCAGCGCTGAAGAGTAAGCCTGCTACTGTACTCAACCGAAAGGCCTAGGAACAACTCATTACAGATTGCAGGTTTATTAGCGCTTATTGATGTGGCGTGAGTGAGCGATTAGCACCATAAGGTCTGCTGGTGGGGTGAGAAATGTGAAACAATATTTCCCGACTTCTTCTCTCACAATCTCCGTCACCTCTTCTCCCCCCACAGTTTCGCCACAGACTGAGAAGCTCAGCTATGCAGCTGCCGCCCTGCAGTCTGGGTCTGGGTCTGGTCACTCAACAGCCCCACCGTCCTCCAACTCTCCCCCACCACAGGTAAGGACCAAGGCTTGGTGTGTGTCCCAAATGGCACCGTAATCCCTATATAGTGCAATACTTTTGATCAGAGTCCATAGGGTTGCATCATTGGCTTCTCTATGACCAGAACTGATGGTGAATCATTCATTAAGTCCTTCCAGGCTAGTGCGAACTGACCTGAATCTCCAGGCTATGATACTAGTTATGTCCCAAATGGCACCTTATTCTATTCCTATATAGTGCAGTAGTTGTCACAAGCGCCCTATGGGTCTTGGTCAAAAGTAGTGCACTATATAGGGAATAGGGTGCCATTTGAGAGGCAGACACAATATTGATTTCTTTAAAAAGAGGTACAAGGTGATTGTTTTTTTCTTCCCTGCAGCTGTGTTTGGTAGACTGCACCATCATAGCTAATGTAGTATAGATTTAATTTAAACATTGTAAATCATGAATAGTGAAAAGAGATGACACAGTATGGAGACATATGTTTTGCTTCTGGTACATTTTTCTAGAGGCTCAGAGATGGATCATTCTTTCAAGCAAGAGGCGATGTTACTCACTTATAAATGTGTTCACATAAGTGTAAGCATAATTAGGTTTGCTTGTTTATTTTCTCTGCTAATTTTTGTCGGTTATCCCACTTATAGACATGATAAGCAGTTTTTTTTCTAAGTTGTTTCTTTTCTTAATTGAAAAGTGAGTGTTCTCAACTGCTTTGCTCTTTGAGTGTACATTTCTCTCATGGTTTTACCATAAGGACAAATCACTTTATCCATCCTCTCCTTTCTCCTAGGCACCAGTGAAGAGGAAGTTTGAGTTCAGTAAAGAGCGCCAGTCTGCCCCCACTCCGCCCCCCTCAAAGAAACCCATCCCCATGGGCTCCCCTGAACGGGGCACTACCACCCCCAAACCCAAGGCCAAATCCAGCACAGCCACTACTCCCAGCCCCAGCACTGCCAAAGGTAAAGACACCCTACAAGACAATCGTCACAGTCAGCCAGCCAGCCACTCACTCACTCTACACCTTTTTCACCTATGCTTGTGTGAATAAAGTACATTTAATAAATCGATGCAAATACCCTGATATATTCGATTTACCTCTCTCCTCACCTCTGTTATTCTTCTCACCCCAGCCTCCCCTGCCCAGAAAACCCCAGACATCAAGAAGAAGGAGAGCCTGTCCAAGCCAGAAGCCAAGACCAGACCCAAGCCCTCCAAAGCCCAGTCCAGCTCCTCCGAGGCCCCCGTCTCCCTCAACAAGATCATGGAGGGGGTGGTGTTTGTTCTGAGCGGCTTCCAGAACCCCTTCCGGGGGGACCTGAGGGACAAGGCCTTGGCCATGGGGGCCAAGTACCGCTCCGACTGGACCCCCGACGCCACACACCTCATGTGAGTGGAGGAGATGGAGATAAATGGTGCTGGGACTGGGAGGTGGTAGTTTAAGTACTCTTTAGTTGGGTCCCCATTGTAATCTGAATTCATAGTGGTAAATTAAAGATGCATGAAAATGGGAATAGAGTGAGGTAAGAACATATTGCATTGGAAACAGGTCAACAAGAATGGTGTGGAATACAACCAACAATGGGGCTGGTATATTAGTAGTGGTAGTAATATTTGTAGGAGTAATATTATAAAGTATATTCTCCATCTCCTATACAACCAAGACTAGTGTAACTACAAGAGTATCACAATAACAGCATGGAAAGCAAAGCAGAACATGTGACCCATATCGGCCTCATGCTCTGCCATAGTAGCAGTGGAGTGTCCCTGGCTTCCCTCCAGTGCCTGCATCCCATATGGCACTCTATTTATTGCACTACACTATACAGGGAATTGGGTGCCATTTGGGATGTAGCCACGGTCCCTTTGGACCCTGGTCGAAAATAGTGCACGACATTGGGAATAGGGTGCCATTTGGGACACAACCGTGCTAACCAAGTGTTTATCTTCATCCAGCTGTGCCTTCTCCAACACCCCCAAGTACAGCCAGGTGAAGTCAGCAGGGGGCATCATCGTCCGGAAGGAGTGGGTGCTAGACTGCCACAAGAGGAAGCAGAAGATCTCCTTCAAACGGTAAGGGGAGGGAGGGAGAGACGGAGGGAGGGAGGCAGAGAGAGAGCGGGGAGGATGGTATAAAAACTGAAAGAGAAGATAGACAGACTTGTTGAAAAGTGTGCTTCTACTAAATGGGTTCTCTGACTCTGTGCCACCCATTCTCTATCAGAAAGCAGCCATTATAACCGTCTTTGAATTCAGCATATTAAGTGAAGTTGGCAGTTAATGGTGTTTCTAAGCACCTATTGCCAAGGCTTTACCTGTACCTATGCAGCTCACTGAAGAGTGTTACCTTGAATAGTTGAAGCCTGCTGTGATGTATTCAATCTCTAACTTCTACCAATGATTCTTGTCATAACAAGCTGGAACAATGTATTGAAGAATACATCGCTGGATCTCGAGTTAGTCAAAGCAAGGCCTCAGATAATAAGAAAAGGTTATTTGAGGGTTTCTTACCACACCTCTCTTCAAGGTGAAAATATATTTCACATAAGGTGTTCACTGCTTCCACGGGTAGTTACCAGACCTGGGTTCAAATACTATTTGTATTTCAATAAGACCTCATTTCAAATACATTTCGAACAAAGTATTTAGTCAAACATTATTTGAAAATACAAGTTGAATATTGGAATGTATTTGTAAATATATTTGGAAAGTATTGACATGCATTTACAACTACTTATATTTAAAGTAGTTGTTTTGGGCTGTGTATTTCAAACTACTCAAATACACATAAAAGTGTATTTTCAAATACTTATACTGAACAAAAATATAAATGCAACAATTTCAAAGATTTTACTGAGTTCCAGTTCATATAAAGAAATCAGTCAATTGAGATAAACTCATTAGGATTTGACGACTGGGCAGGGGTGCAGCCATGGGTGTTCCTGGGAGGGCATAGGCTGACCCACTTGGGAGCCAGGCCCAGCCAATCAGAATGAGTTTTTCCCCCAAAAAGGGCTTAATTACAGGCATAAATACTCCTCAGCACCCCCATCAGACGATCTCGCAGGTGAAGAAGCCAGATGTGGATGTCCTGCGCTGGCGTGGTTGTGTGACAAAACTGCACATTTTAGTGGCCTTTTATTGTCCCCAGCACAAGGTGCACCTGTGTAATGATCATGCATTTTAATTATCTTGGCAAAGGAGAAATGCTCACTAACAGATGTAAACATTTTTGGGGATCTTTTATTTCAGCTCATGAAACATGGGACCAACACTTTACATGTTGCGTTTTATATTTTTGTTCAGTGTAAAATGTATTTGTACCCAGGTCTGGTACTTAGACTGCCTTGCAAAAGTATTCATCCCCCTTGGCGTTTTTCCTATTTTGTTGCATTACAACCTGTAATTTAAATTGATTTTTATTTTAATTTATGTAATGGACATACACAAAATAGTCCAAATTGGTGAAGTGGAATGAAAAAAATAACTTGTTTCAAAAAATTCTAAAAAATAAATAACGGAAAAGTGGTGCGTGCGCATATGTATTCACCCCCTTTGCTATGAAGCCCCTAAATAAGATCTGGTGCAAACAATTACCTTCAGAAGTCACATAATTAGTTAAATATAGTCCACCTGTGTGCAATATAAGTGTCACATGATCTCAGTGTATATATACACCTGTTCTGAATGGCCCCAGAGTCTGCAGCACCACCAAGCAAGTGGCACCAAGAAAATAATAAATCAATAAAAATAATTAGTCATTTAGCAGACGCTCTTATCCAGAGCGACTTACAGGAGCAATTAGGGTTAAGTGCCTTGCTCAAGGGCACATCGACAGATTTTTCACCTAGTCGGCTCGGGGATTAGAACCAGCGACCTTTCGGTTACTGGCACAACGCTCTTAACCACTAAGCTACCTGCCGCCAAGGAGCTCTCCAAACAGGTCAGGGACAAAGTTGTGGAGAAGTACAGATCAGGGTTTGGTTATAGAAAAATATCCGAAACTTTGAACATCCCACGGAGCACCATTAAATCCATTATTAAAAATGACACCACAACAAACCTGCCAAGACCGGGCCGCAATTCACAGACCAGGCAAGTAGGGCATTACTCAGAGAGGCAACAAAGCCCTGAAGGAGCTGCTAAGCTCCACAGCGGAGATTGGAGTATCTGTCCATAGGCCACTTTAAGCCATACACTCCACAGAGCTAGGCTTTTACGGAAGAGTGGCCAGAAAAAAGCCATTGCTTAAAGAAAAAAATAAGCAACCACGTTTGGTGTTCACCAAAAGGCATGTGGAAGACTCCCCAAACATATGGAAGAAGGTACTCTGTTCAGATGAGACTAAAATTGAGCTTTTTGGCCATCAAGGAAAGCGCTGTCTGGTGCAAACCCAACACCTCTCATCACCCTGAGAACACCATCCATCCAGTGAAGCATGGTGGTGGCAGCATTATGCTGTGGGAATGTTTTTCATCGGAATGATGGATGGCGCTAAATACAGGGAAATTCTTGAGGGAAACCTGTTTCAGCCTTCCAGAGATTTGAGACTGGGACGGAGGTTCACCTTCCAGCAGGACAATGACCCTAAGCATACTGCTAAAGCAACACTCAAGTGGTTTAAGGGGAAACATTTAAATGTCTTGGAATGGCCTAGTCAAAGCCCAGACCTCAATCCAATTGAGAATCTGTGGTATGACTTAAAGATTGCTGTACACCAGCGGAACCCATCCAACTTGAAGGAGCTGGAACAGTTTTGCCTTGAAGAATGGGCATAAATCCCTGTGGCTAGATGTGCCAAGTTTATAGAGACATACCCCAAGAGACTTGCAGCTGTAATTGCTGCAAAAGGTGGCTCTACAAAGTATTGACTTTGGGGTGGGGTAAATAGTTATGCATGCTCAAGTTTTCAGTTTTTTTGTCTTATTTCTTGTTTGTTTCACAATAAAAAAATATTTTGCATCTTCAAAGTGGTAGGCATGTTGTGTAAATGAAATGATACAAACCCCCCAACAAAATCAAATTTAATTCCAGCTTGTAAGGCAACAAAATAGGAAAAATGCCAAAGGGGGTGAATACTTTCGCAAGCCACTGTACTAGGCTAGGTCAGGTCACAGTGAATGCTGCCAGCATCAGTCACCCCCACCACTGTCTTTCTACACTGTTCCCTACTCCTGTACTTTTTTATTTTATTTAACCTTTATTTAACCAGGTAGGCCAGTTGAGAACAGGTTCTCATTTACAACTGCAACCTGGCCAAGATAAAGCAAAGCAGTGCGATAAAAACAACAACACAGAGTTACACATGGGATAAACAAAACATATAGTCAATAACACAATAGAAAAACTATATACAATGTGTGCAAATGTAGTTAGTTATGGAGGTAAGGTAATAAATAGGCCATAGTGCAAAATAATTAAAGTTTTATATTAACACTGGAGTGATAGATGTGAGAAGATGATTTGCAAATAGAGATACTGGGGTGCAAATGAGCAAAATAAATAACAATATGGGGATGAGGTAGTTGGGTGGGCTAATTTCAGATGGGCTGTGTACAGGTGCAGTGATCGGTAAGCTGCTCTGAGAACTGATGCTTAAAGTTAGTGAGGGAGATAAGAGTCTCCAGCTTCAGAGATTTTTGCAGTTCGTTCCAGTCATTAGCAGCAGAGAACTGGAAGGAATGGCGGCCAAAGGAGGTGTTGGCTTTGGGGATGACCAGTGAGATATACCTGCTGGAGCGCATTCTACGGGTGGGTGTTGCTATGGTGACCAATGAGCTAAGATAAGGCGGGGATTTGCCTAGCAGAGATTTATAGATGACCTGGAGCCAGTGGGATTGGCGACGAATATGTAGTGAGGGCCAGCCATCGAGAGCGTACAGGTCACAATGGTGGGTAGTATATGGGGCTTTGGTGACAAAATGGATGGCACTGTGCTAGACTACATCCAATTTGCTGAGTAGAGTGTTGTTGGCAATTTTGTTAAATGACATCGCCGAAGTCAAGGATTGGTAGGATAGTCAGTTTTACGAGTGCATGTTTGGCAGCATGAGTGAAGGAGGCTTTGATGCGAAATAGGAAGCCAATTCTAGATTTAACTTTGGATTGGAGATGCTTAATGTGAGTCTGGAAGGAGAGTTTACGGTCTAACCAGACACCTAGGTATTTGTAGTTGTCCACATATTCTAAGTCAGACCCGCCGAGAGTAGTGATTTTAGTCGGGCAGGCGGGTGCAAGCAGCGTTCGATTGAAGAGCATGCATTTAGTTTTACTAGCGTTTAAGAGCAGTTGGAGGCTACGGAATGAGTGTTGAAGCTCGTTTGGAGGTTTGTTAACACAGTGTCCAACGAAGGGCCAGATGTATACAAAATGGTGTCGTCTGCATAGAGGTGGATCTGAGAGTCACCGGCAGCAAGAGCAACATCATTGATATACACAGAGAATAGAGTCGGCCCGAGAATTGAACCCTGTGGCACCCCCATAGACACTGCCAGAGGTCCAGACAACAGGCCCTCTGATTTGACACATTGAACTCTATCTGAGAAGTAGTTGGTGAACCAGGCGAGGCAGTCATTTGAGAAACCAAGGCAATTTAGTCTGCCAATAAGAATGCGGTGATTGACAGAGTCAAAAGCCTTGGCCAGGTCGATGAAGACGGCTGCACAGTACTGTCTTTTATTGATCGCGGTTATAATATCGTTTAGGACCTTGAGCGTGGCTGAGGTGCACCCATGACCAGCTCGGAAACCAGATTGCGTAGCGGAGAAGGTATGGTGGGATTCGAAATGGTCAGTGATCTGTTTGTTAACTTGGCTTTCAAATACTTTCGAAAGGCAGGGCAGGATGGATATAGGTCTGTAACAGTTTGGATCTAGAGTGTCACCCCCTTTGAAGAGGGGGATGACCGCGGCAGATTTCCAATTTTAGAAAGAAAGGGTCCAGATTGTCTAGCCCAGCTGATTTGTAGGGGTCCAGATTTTGCAGCTCTTTCAGAACATCAGCTATCTGAATTTGGGTGAAGGAGAAGCGGGGGGGCATGGGCAAGTTGCAGCGGAGGGTGCAGAGCTGGTGGCCGGGGTAGGGGTAGCCAGGTGGAAAGCATGGCCAGCCGTAGCAAAATGCTTGTTGAAATTCTCGATTATCGTAGATGTATCGGTGGTGACAGTGTTTCCTAGCCTCAGTGCAGTGGGCAGCTGGGAGGAGGTGCTCTTATTCTCCATGGACTTTACAGTGTCCCAAAACCTTTGGGAGTTAGTGCTACAGGATGCAAATTTCTGTTTGAAAAAGCTAGCCTTTGCTTTCCTAACTGATTGTGTATATTTGTTCCTGACTTCCCTGAAAAGTTGCATATCGCGGGGGCTGTTCGATGCTAATACAGTACACCACAGGATGTTTTTGTGCTGGTCAAGGGCAGTCAAGTCTGGGGTGAACCAGGGGCTATATCTGTTCTTAGTTCTGAATTTTTGGAATGGGGCATGCTTATTTAAGATGGAGAGGAAAGCACTTTTAAAGAACAACCGGGCATCCTCTACTGACGGAATGAGGTCAATATCCATCCAGGATACCGGGCCAGGTCAATTAGAAAGGCCTGCTCGCTGAAGTGTTTTAGGGAGCGTTTGACAGTGATGAGGGGTGGTCGTTTGACCGCGGACCCATTACGGACGCAGGCAATGAGGCAGTGATTGCTGAGATCCTGGTTGAAGACAGCGGAGGTGTATTTAGAGGGTAAATTAGTCAGGATGATATCTATGAGGGTGCCCATATTTACGGATTTACAGTTGTACCTGGTAGGTTCCTTGATAATTTGTGTGTGATTGAGGGCATCTAGTTTAGATTGTAGGACGGCCGGGGTGTTAAGCATATCCCAGTTTAGGTCACCAAGCAGTACGATCTCATGAGGATAGATGGGGGGCAATCAATTCACATATGGTGTCCAGGACACAGATTGGGGCTGAGGGGGGTCTGTAGCAAGCTGCAACAGTGAGAGACTTATTTCTGGAAAGGTGGATTTTTAGAAGTAGAAGCTCAAACTGTTTGGGCACAGACCTGGATAGTATGATAGAGCTCTGCAGGCTATCTCTACAGTAGATTGCAACTCCACCCCCTTTGGCAGTTCTATCTAGACTGAAATTGTTGTAGTTGGGGATGGAAATTTCAGAGTTTTTGGTGGCCTTCCTAAGCCAGGATTCAGACACTGCTAGAACAGCAGGGTTGGCGGAGTGTGCTAACGCAGTGAATAACTCAAACTTAGGGAGGAGGCTTCTGATGTTAATATGCAAGAAACCAAGGCTTTTATGGTTACAGAAGTCAACAAATGATAGCGCCTGGGGAGTAGGAGTGATACTGGGGGCTACAGGGCCTGGGTTAACCTCTACATCACCAGAGGAACAGAGGAGGAGTAGGATAAGGCTAAAGGCTTTAAGAACTGGTCTTCTAGTGCGTTGGGTACAGAGAATAAAAGGGGCTATGCTCACTTTCTTTACTCTTACAGTATTGACATCATGTCTCTGTAATTGGCCCTCAGAAACAAATGAATATCCGCTCATCTAATTTGAAAGGGGTGTGCGAAGTGATCAAGTAGTATTGTAAGAGGGTGTTAGGAAATAATTCAAATGCACGCTGTTGAGCTATTAACACGCTAATTGTGTATAGTTTTCTCTGCGTTAGCATCATAATTCTACATTGGGATGCGCACACACACACACTACCACCATCATTTGACTGTGTTTACTGACCCCCTCTGCTGTAGACTGCTCTCCATCTCCCTCAACCACTCTCCTTTTTGTATAGAGAATCCCCCTCTCCTTCCATTTGTCTATCCTCCCTCTCTCATCCCTCGTTCCTCATGCATCCATCCAAGCCAGCCCGTCTCTATTGTGCAAGCTCTTGTTTCGAGTGCGGAGCTCTAATGATTTATTCCTTATTTAAAAGCTGCATCTGCTATGGGTAATTGAAGGGTCCACTTCCTTTGAAGAAGACTACTGCTGATGCACACACAATCATGCACGCACACCTACACACACACGTGCGCGTACAGAGACGTAGAGACACGCACACATAAACACAGAGACACAGTCGTCACACGTTCATACACAAACACACAGCCCAACTCAAACCAGAAGAACACTGCTATGCATCTAAATGTTTTGGGCCTTTTGTCCTTACAAGAACACTTCAAAATGAAAGGAGGGGAAGAGGAGGGGAGGGGCACACGCTGGCACGCTTCCCTCAAGTGGCATCAAGATAAACCGGCAACACAATGGAATGAATGGGGAATAAATGAGTAAGCAAACTTTGCATTAGTGTAGATTATTGAAGGGTCCGTCCGTCGGTAACATCTGAAGTGCCTCAAGGAAATGTTTTAGATTCCCTTTTAGCAATCACAGACCCCAAATTGCACTTAATTTATTTTAAAGCCATTATTACCTTAGATAACAACTCGTGATGACGAACTAGTGTTGTACACACAACCATTTTCCTCCAGAAAAGCCCTTGACTTTTTCATAATTGGGATTTTCTTATGAGAGGACAAATTTAACTGATACAATACGACTTTATTCCTCCCCTCAGATTGTGCATAATTGCATATGATTGGAGCAATTATAATCGTATTGACCATGAACAAGTCACAGTGCTGTCGTCATGGTTATGTCACCAATAAAGGTGAATTTGAATACAGTATAGCCTAGTGAATACAGTGGCTAGCTATTCAACATCACAATGTTAGTCCAGTGTGGGGATGATCCACTATATATTTGCTACTTTTATTATTTCACATTTAGTCTGCCCTCGGCTCGTAAATTATCTGAATCAACTATCAGACATATTGATCAACCTGATTTATTGTAGAAGTAATTAATCTAAAAGGCACATTAACATTTTAATTACATTTTACATTTACGTCATTTAGCAGACGCTCTTATCCAGAGCGACTTACAAATAGTGCTCATGGTCATACAGTACATGTTTTTATCTGCTTTCATTCTTTTTTGGCCCTGAAGTCGAGACTAATATTATTTTCCCACACAATTCAGATTAAATACTTAGCCTTCTGGGGACCTCTGAATGCAGAGGGAAACAAATCACTCTTGCGCACTGCTCTCCATAGAGGGAGGATACGTTTTCCTTTAGGGCCTACCCTCTGGTAAAGCGTTGCGGATTCCATTCCTTAACTCAATTCAAGATATTTATTTAGGTAATTCGCCATACTGCATATGAAGTGAAGTGTCATAAGAGGATTGAGAAGATGAGTGAGTCTCAGACCCCGTCTCTGTAAGCTACGTGTGTGTGTGTGTGTGTGCGCGCGTGCACCCACTACGCTACATTAGGAAACCCTCTACTTTTTAATTTTCCAATCTAAACAGTGCTGTAGGATATGAGGAATCGAAGCACAGAATAGAGCAGTAACATTATGAGTAGTTATGACCCTTGATAGTCGTATTTCATCTTAGCGGTCGTCTTGGTAACTTGAGGGGCTGGAGGGTGTGTGTGGAAAAGGTAATGCATCTTTGATTGAGAATGAAGTGGTGTGTGAGAGGGTTAGCACCGCCGCTGTCAAGGCTCCATCTCATCTGGGTGCCACATGCTGTTCCTCCGCCGCCCCGGCCGCCCCTCGCTCCCCTCATCCAGACGTATTGTTTTATTCTGTCATGTATTCGCTTCACGGACGGCCTAATCTAATGCGATTGAAGCCACTTACATTTTTCATAGTACACATTAGCGGTTTAGTCCTGCCTGAGTGGACCAGGTTAATGACTTTACCTTAAGGGCACTGCCATCCTCGCCCATCATGGGACCCTCTCAGTCCTTCTTTGTGGGGTGGCTCGGAGGGCAGTGACACACTGGCACCCCTTTGATAGGTGTCGCAAAACCTATTTACTTCTGTGAATGGCCTCATTCCACTCCAAAAAGGCATTTGTCTTGTCAGTACATGACTTTGATACTGCAGTAGACAATATGTCATGTTATATTCATGGTACAGAGGTAGAGTTTGAGAATAGATATAGGCCCAGTAAATAATGCAATGTCAAATCCATATACTTACTTAGTTAGACCGCCTTTGAATTCCTCACGGAACACAGCCCATCAAATTCAAGGAAGTGCATAAATGTTTGTTTCCACCCTGTTTATGTAGTAGCACTTTAACATTTACAATTCTATTTACAGCAGTGTATAAAATATATATTTCCATTAGAGCTGGGACGATAAACCGAAAATGATCGACACCGACCATAGCGATCACTTATCGCAGGCCTTTTGCTGATATTGTTCATTACGATAAGTAGCCTATACCAGAGAAATGTGAAGTTTGAAATGAAGTAATTGTGTTAATATGGGTGATTGTTAATGGGACAAGTGATGGCTACAATAATCAAACTAGTAGTAGTAGTTTAAAGAATAATATTTACCAACTGTAGTGCACATTAATGTTATAAACTTATCGATCTATTTGTCGGTATTGCATCAGTTCATTTATTTTTGTCCAGATCACCCAGTTCAGTTTTACATACTGCAAATACATAATTGTAGGGGACAGAACCACCTCAGTGTCAAACAAATCCACTTAACGGAAAGAGGGAAGTATGTGTATGCATTGACTGTGCTGTCCATGGTGCTGCATTCTGGTAGTGTGTGTGTGTGAGAGTGACTTATCTGTGTATGTGTGTGACTGTTCTGTGTGTGCAGTCTGTTACTGTTCTGTGTCTGGCTAGCCTTTATGTTTCCGTCTGGAACATGAAGTACTTTTTTGCACCCTTCAGATGTTGTGTTCTTCCAACATTTTAACCTTTGCGCAGAATTCCAGCCAGCGTGATCGTCCCTTTGCTGGGAATCTTTTTGTTTATCCATTCAGAAGTTTTCACCACTTATGTTGTTGCTTCTTTTCCCCTCACCCCTTTTTTGTATTTCTCTATTTAAAACGATCCTTCTTCCCCGCGTCCCTCTCTTCCTGCCAGGTACCTGATGGACGGAGCGGAGTCCAGCTCGGAGGGGAGCGACGTAGAGGAGGATGAAGAGGGGGAGGAGGAAAAAGAGAGGAGGGTGAGGTCCTCTTAAACCGTTCCATGACCTAGCAGTAGGACATGACATGACATGACATTATTGCCTAAGAAAAAATACATCTGCTTCAAATAATTATTCTGATTTACATAATTGTATTTGTTCTATTCCCTCCCCTGTACTGCCCTCTCCCTCGTTGGCAGACTCCACAAAAGAGGAGAGAAGAAGAACGGCAACCCACTCCCAGAAAGGCCCCCATCAAGGAAGAGGAGGATGATCTGTATGGTGGCTCCACAGACGCAGATGAACCAGGTTTGCATTATACACACCTACGATAAACTGAAATTAGCGGGATTTTGCTACACAACGTTCCTGTAGATTGTTCTAAAACTATTATTTGGGGAATGGTAATAGCCTATGCATTATGTTGATTCCTGTTATAAAAGTATCTGCCTGTCCCTGTTTCACTGTCGACTGCTGTCTCTCACTCCCCGCTGTGCGCACGGAGAAGCACAAGCATATGACCGTTGCTCAAAATGCTAATGCGGGAAACATGTAGTTTTCAAAGCAACTACAGTTCTATACTGAACAGAAATATAAACACAACATGCAATAATTTCATTGATTTTACTGAGTTACACAGTTCATGTGAGGAACTCAATCAATTGAAATAAATTAATTAGGCCCTAATCTATGGATTTCACGACTGGGAATACAGAAATGCATCTGTTGGTCACAGATACCTAATAAAAAATGGGCCAAAGGATCTTGTCATGGTATTTTTTAGCATTAAAATTGCCTCGTTGTCCGTAGCTTATGCCTGCCCATACCATAACCCCACTGCCACCATGGGGCACTCTGTTCACAACTTTGACATCAGCAAACCGCTCGCACTCCTTTTTAAACGAACAACAGAACAGATACTCATTTGCGTAGCGGACATTATTCTCACCACTTATTTATAAATCTGCATAAATCATTGCTGCCAGTTTTCTCGTGAGCTAATGGTGTTTTCAGCTCACAACAGACAACTACATACTTTTGATAGCAGCTGAATCACACGTGTCAGAATGAAAGGACCCTGACACAGTGTTGGAAAGGGAGGAGAAAGGAACATACTCTCTGGCCATACTCCTTTCCAGAGACTTGTTTCATCATCTTTTCCTGCAAGAGCCATTATTTCCATTTACTTTATTGCCATAAATGTTTTTCTACAACCATGTAGTGAATTAAATCGCTCGATGGGCTTAATACATTTGCTCAAGTAGCTAGCCGAGGAAGAGAGTGGGACTAACACCACTAAGACTGAAGAGGATGGAAATGAAAGAGGGTGAAATGGACAGAGGGAGCGAAGGAAGGAGGAGAGAAGTTGGGAAAAGACTGCTTTATTGGGATGGACGGAATGACAACACCGCCATTAAAAGGACAGGTAGAGAGGGATGCATGTTGAGAGGACAAGGGGAGTGAAAGGACGGAAAGAAACACTTGCGTAGAGCAATCGCTGCCGAGAGACTTGTGCATGATTCTAATTTCTATGGTAATGCGAGGCCAGGAGTAAGTGGTCCGGGCGCATTAGTGAGACGAGCACGTCTTTACTAACGCATCACATACCAAAAAACAGGAAAGGGGGAAGAAGAATGAATCGCGACTGGGTGCATCTCAATAGTCTAGAAGTAGCTTATTTTCCTTGTCTTCATCTGCACTGATTGGAAAATACATATTAACAATTTTAAGGAACTTAGCCTTTAACAAGGGCCTAAGTACATGGCCTATTTATTTTGGAAGAGCAAAGCTTAGAGAGGTATGGGTGAAGCACTTACGTTTCTACAGCATAGTATAGACTAAGTTATGACCTGATGTAGGTTAATAAGATGGTATGCTTCTGATGAAGGTTATGTTCTTCTGATGTAATAATGTGTTATTCTTCTCCTCTCCTATCTCCCACAGAAGATGAGTCTGGCATGGACACGGAGGACGAGCTGAAAAGGTAACTAACAACATCAATGAACATGAATGGATATTATTCATATTTGACTGTAGCGGGGGTTGAAGCCATGTCCTACTACAGGACCTCTGGGTTGACAGTGCCTCTGCCCTAGCGTGGTCTCAGATCTCTGTGCTATCGGAGTTGCCCAATGACAATAGGAGTTGCCCAATGACCATAGGAGTTGGCAAGACAGCACAAAGATCTGGGACCGTGCTACCTTGATCCTCTTGTTGCTCATCATGGTTATAATTACACATATGTATAATTTACCCCTCTCTTTAAGGTGGGCGTGGGTAGGTTGAAGAGAGATTGTTCTCATTTTGATTCATTAGCTGTCGGATTGCGTCGTCGTGAATGTAAAATAATTGCTGAGCTTGTTGGTGGAAAGGATTTTTGTCTATACAAGTCTAAAACTCCACCATACTGAAATGGTCTTGCGTCAAACATTTCCCTCGAGCTCTTTCAGTAATCTGAAGAAAGCGTGGGTGTTTGTTTTGTATGTGGGCAGAAATGTCTGGTTCTGTCAGTTGTATTTGTTGTGCGGCATCACAACAGAATGAACAGATGTGGTGTCTCTTCATTCAAGGACACCAGCAGAGCATCAGTCAATAGTTTCATAACCCCCCTTTCATAAACAACTTTTCTCTCTCGTCGGCAGGGTGGAGAGCGCGAGTCGGCAGAAGAAAGGAGAGAAGGAGAGAAGGGAAGTGAAGGAGGAGGACCCTTTCGGGGGATCGACGGACGAGAACACAGATGCTGAGGCCGAGGAGAACAAGCCCATCCCTGAGCTACCAGGTCTGTCTGACCTTGTCTGCCTCTCTCTGTGCAGTCTGTATAGTCTGTGCTGGCTAGCTGTGTCTGTCAGTTTGTTTGTTCTTGCTCATTGGTCATGTTATTCTAAATTACTAAAGTACTTTTCTGTCATCCACACTGGTTTTTCACGACGCTCACAAACATTAAGTTGTCAAATTGCACACAATTTCCTATATTTTTCCCATCAGTGATGAACAATGATTACTGTAATGCTATGCAGGGGGTCTTGCTCTCATGCTGATTTATATATTTTTTTTACTACCCTTTAGATTTCCTAACTGGAAAGCGATTCTTCCTCTACGGCAAGTTCCCCAACAATGACAGACGCCTACTCCTGCGGTACATCATGGCCTTCAATGGGTAAGGAGACGAAAGAGAGACTGACTACAGAATGAGAGTAGGGCAGATTTGTCCTATTACAGTAGTACTTTACTAGTACTTTTTGAGTTAATACAAGTGATCAGCGGATTTATTTTTTTTTTATTTCACCTTTATTTAACCAGGTAAACCAGTTGAGAACAGGTTCTCATTTACAACTGCGACCTGGCCAAGATAAAGCAAAGCAGTGCAATAAAAACAACACAGAGTTACATATGGGGTAAAAAAAACATAAAGTCAAAAATACAACAGAAAATATATATACAGTGTGTGCAAATGTAGCAAGTTATGGAGGTAAGGCAATAAATAGGCTATAGTGCAGAATAATTACAATAGTATTAACACTGGAATGCTAGATGTGCAAGAGATTATGTGCAAATAGAGATACTGGGGTGCAAAAGAGCAAAATAAATAACAATATAGGGATGAGGTAGTTGGGTGGGCTAATTTCAGATGGGCTGTGTACAGGTGCAATGATCGGTAAGGTGCTCTGACAACTGATGCTTAAAGTTAGTGAGGGAGATAAGAGTCTCCAGCTTCAGAGATTTTTGCAATTCGTTCCAGTCATTGGCAGCAGAGAACTGGAAGGAATGGCGGCCAAAGGAGGTGTTGGCTTTGGGAATGACCAGTGAGATATACCTGCTGGAGCGCAGACTACGGGTGGGTGCTGCTATGGTGACCAATGAGCTAAGATAAGGCGGGGATTTGCCTAGCAGTGATTTATAGATGGCCTGGAGCCAGTGGGTTTGACGACGAACATGTAGTGAGGACCAGCCAACAAGAGCGTACAGGTCACAGTGGTGGGTAGTGTATGGGGCTTTGGAGACAAAACGGATGGCACTGTGATAGACTACATCCAATTTGCTGAGTAGAGTGTTGGAGGCTATTTTGTAAATGACATCGCCGAAGTCAAGGATCGGTAGGATAGTCAGTTTTACGAGGGCATGTTTGGCAGCATGAGTGAAGGAGGCTTTGTTGCGAAATAGGAAGCCGATTCTAGATTAAATTTTGGATTGGAGATTCTTTATGTGAGTCTGGAAGTTGAGTTTACAGTCTAACCAGACACCTAGGTATTTGTAGTTGTCCACATACTCTAGGTCAGACCCGTCGAGAGTGGTGATTCTAGTCGGGTGGGCGGGTGCCAGCAGCGTTCGATTGAAAAGCATGCATTTAGTTTTACTAGTGTTTAAGAGCAGTTGGAGGCTACTGAAGGATTGTTGTATGGCATTGAAGCTCGTTTGGAGGTTTGTTAACACAGTGTCCAATGAAGGGCCAGATGTATACAAAATGGTGTCGTCTGCGTAGAGGTGGATCTGAGAGTCACCAGCAGCAAGAGCGACATCATTGATATACACGGAGAAAAGTGTCGGCCCAAGAATTGAACCCTGTGGCACCACCATAGAGACTGCCATAGGTCCAGACAACAGGCCCTCCGATTTGACACACTGAACTCTATCTGAGAAGTAGTTGGTGAACCAGGCGAGGCAGTCATTTGAGAAACCAAGGCTATTTAGTCTGCCAATAAGAATGCGGTGGTTGACAGAGTCGAAAGCCTTGGCCAGGTCGATGAAGACGGCTGCACAGTACTGTCTATTATCAATCGCGGTTATAATATCGTTTATGACCTTGAGCTTGTGTGTCGTTGAGGGCTTTGAGGGCTTGTGTGTGTGTGTCGTTGAGGGCTTGTGTGTGATGAGGGCTTGTGTGTCGTTGTACCTTTATAAAACAGTGTTTGGATCTCAAAGACGAGACGGGTAGCTTTCTCTCTCTCACTCTTTCTCTCCTCTTCTCTTCCCCTCCCATATCTCTCTCCCTCTTTCTTTGTTCCTCTCTCTCTCTCTCTTCAGGGCGGTGGAGGACTACATGAGTGAGAAGGTCCAGTTTGTCGTCACTAGCGAAGGATGGCACGACTCCTTTGAAGACGTGAGTGTGACCTCCCTTTTCGTTTCCTCGAAAGACCTCTTGATGTTAAACACACACACACACACACACACACACACATATGAGAGTGTGATACACAAGCAGGCAAGCTCACACACAGCACAAACATGATTGTGTAACACACACACACACACACTTATAAAGGTCTCTCATCTCTTTGTAAAGACACTGTAATGACTCCAGGAAGATAGAATGAAATCTGCTGCTAGTCATCTATGTAAAGTGCTCCATTCATAGTCTGCTCACAAAAAAGAGACAGAGAAATGCATAATGACATTTTCCCATTGAAAGGCTTGGAATTAAATACCATTGCCACTCTAGCTCCCACATGATTATCTGAAGTGAAATAAGTAGTACATTTTTCCTGGATAAATATTTATATTTTTTATTTTAAATATTACATTTTAGTCATTTAGCAGACGCTCTTATCCAGTGACTTACAGTTAGTGAGTGCATACATTTTTCATGCATACAATATCCCAAAAAGAACGGATTCTAGGACATGGATTGTTTTAGGAAAGTCTTTTGATGAGCTGTTTACCTACCTTTTTAGTGCATCACTGATGTTTGATCTGATATTGGACGTGCGTGGTTAGTTGCCTTTTGATGTAGGTCTGTTACAGGGACATCTGTATTTCACACCAGCTCATTTGCAATGGAAAGTGCTTCTGCCAAGTCACGAGCTATTTAAATATATATGTTGTTGACCTATTTGTTGTACCATTTAAAATATTGGCTGGCAAACCCTCATGCCCTCAAAGGGTTCAGTCTCTGTAGCCCTTTATTATTAAACAGATTCCCACCTCCTGACATATTTTCCCTCTCTCTCCTCTCTCTCTTTCTCTCTCCCTCTCTGCCACAGGCGCTGATGGAGAATGGTAATTTAAGCTTTGTCAAACCCACATGGATTTTTGCCATCAACGATCGACAGAAGATGCTGCCATATCAGCCCTACACTGTTGTCCCTTGAGACTTGCATTTGCCAACGTGCACACACACACACACAACAGTATTGTACCTGTCCAAAGGGTAGGAGAGGTGTACGTTGACGCCATAGACACTAGCTCTTTTCAGATCCCTAGGTAAATGACACCAAGCCCGTGACATTTTGCTACAAATGCCTTAACCTTACCTGAAGCCATCCAGAGAGCTGGATGAAATGGTTTCCCTACCAGAGATAGACTTATCATTACCGGTGCACAAAAAGAACTCGCCTATCTGTCTCTCTTTCAGGGCTTTTTAAAACTCACTTCACACTGTCTGTCATATTGCTCACCTCCACTACCTCAGGGTCTATGTGGAAACTCCAGTTATCACTCATGTCCTGAAAAGCCACTGGCTTTGATAGAGGGGGGTGTATTAGTGTTAGGAGCAACATAAAGAGACCTACGTGTAGCCGGAATGGCACCCTATTCCATATAAAGTGCCCTATGGGCCCTGGTCAAAAGTAGTGCACTACATAGGGAATAGGGTGCCGTTGACAGATGTAAAGGTGTTTGTTAGTTATTTAAGGTCACTAACACTCAAGGCCAAGGGCAACAAAATATGAATAGAAAATAAGCCCTTTGTCCTTGTTGCTAGGTAGAAATATGAAATGCACTTCAAGGATTGGTTGGTATTCCTCTCATCTTATTTTTCAACAAGTCCACTTTGACCAAATACATGGGATTGTAGTGTAATTTGTAGCATGTTATGCTGTAGAATTACGTGTACTTTTGTTTTATTCATGTTGTATGCTGTTTGAATTGTACACAGACTATTGTGTGTGAAAGTGTGAGGATCCAATAAGTCCTGTTTTTGCGTGGTTATTTTTGGAACTATATGATGCGTGTTCATCATCCTTATTTTTCACGTCTAGATTTGAGATGTTTATTACAGTATCTTAGCTTTGCTTTCAGATTCTTCCCAACAACAAAAAAATATTTGAATAATTAAAATAATGGATTTTAAATGAATTGCACATCGTGTTTTTATTGATGAACTAGACATATTGAAGCTGATTTGATTGGACACCATCCTCCTTTCCTCTATTCATAATATCTGTAACCCTTAGCTGTTTCCATCCCCCATTCTCTATCATCTCTGCCCCCCTCCCCTCTCTTCCTCTAATCAGTTCTCCCCATGTTTTCCTCCCCTGAGCATCTGGGTCCGCTGCTCTCCAGTCAAGGGGATTAGAGTAATGGAAGAAGAGCGAGAGAGGAGAGGATAGAAAATAAGTTGAAATACTTCATTCCATTTGGAGCCCCAGATTGATTCGTAGATGTTTCAAAAGCTTTTATTCATTGTATGGTCTCACATTCCTTTGACATATTTTGCATGTCCTTGAAATAGAGAGACAGGTAGATCTGAGAGTTTGGCATTGTGCAAAGTAAGGCCCTTTTCAGGTCATAGTGTTCACTATACAGGGCACCTTATTCACAGTCTCATGGACTATGTTCCTATTCTCCAACCTTTTCCTGAAGTGTGCACTTGCACACTCCCTGTCAAGGATTTTAAAGCATAGGATTGGTGTAAACATTGGCTGGAAGGAGTTTACACCATTGTAAAATCCATGCGAGAAAGTGTGTGAGTGCACACTTTGGAAGAAGGGTAAAGAATTGGGACATTCTGTGTAGATCATATTATGCTCCCAGTGAGGGACAATGGTGAGGGCTTTGTGCATGGAACAAACCAGCAGTCATGATCATTTTGAATGAGTCATTTACTGAGGTACTGTAATTGGATGAAGGGTTTTTGATTTGTACCTAATTTGTTCAAAGTTCAAGTAGCAGAGAAACATGATAGACAGAGAGAGGCTTAATGGTCTGCTTCAATGGAGATGGTTTAATAACCTTTCCAGATAGTGTGCTGTCTTATCATCTTAACTTCTAAGGACAGCGGTAGGCAACTAGATTCAGCCGCGGACCGATTTTTTGTCAGAGCTGATGATCTGGGGCCGCAACATAATTATAATAATTTGTACACTGCAAATTGACAAAGTAAGCCCAAAAACATTACATTATTTTAAATAAAGTAATAATTTCATACCTTGATTCCATTGAGACACGATCACATACTGTATGTCTATATTTTTATTTGTGGGAACAGATTTCCTAAATTAACATCCTGCTGATTTTAGGAGGATTACCCTGTTTATGCTTTGATGAAGCGTATACATTTTCCCTTCGAATTGTCTTCCCCGTCTCATTTCTCTCTGATCTCTATTGCTTCTGCTCATTGCGAGCGCTGCCAAACGTATATGGATGATTTTAATTTGTCGCACAATTAGAGAGCTTTAGAGAGCTTTTTACCCTCACAGTTCATTTGTTTTCATCTCTGTTTTTTTTTCTTCTGAATAGGCTTCATCAAGATAAGTGAGCGTCTCGTCTCCTAAAGACCACACACACACACACACACTGCTCACTGGATCTGACCCTAGGAACCTCTAACAAGAGGGGAGTGGGGAAGAGAGAGAGGGAGGGTACCGCTAAATCACTTGGAGGAACAGACAGAGCGTGAACCAGAGAGGGGTGGAGAGAGGAAGGGATTTACTGCTGGAACACTCATTGAGGAGTAGAGGGAGTGAGCGTGTTGCATGTTATAGAGGAGTAGAGGGAGTGAGTGTGTTGCATGTTATAGAGGAGTAGAGGGAGTGAGTGTGTTGCATGTTATAGAGGAGTAGAGGGAGTGAGTGTGTTGCATGTTATAGAGGAGTAGAGGGAGTGAGTGTGTTGCATGTTATAGAGGAGTAGAGGGAGTGAGTGTGTTGCATGTTATAGAGGAGTAGAGGGAGTGAGCGTGTTGCATGTTATAGAGGAGTAGAGGGAGTGAGTGTGTTGCATGTTATAGAGGAGTAGAGGGAGTGAGTGTGTTGCATGTTATTGAGGAGTAGAGGGAGTGAGTGTGTTGCATGTTATAGAGGAGTAGAGGGAGTGAGTGTGTTGCATGTTATAGAGGAGTAGAGGGAGTGAGTGTGTTGCATGTTATAGAGGAGTAGAGGGAGTGAGTGTGTTGCATGTTATAGAGGAGTAGAGGGAGTGAGTGTGTTGCATGTTATAGAGGAGTAGAGGGAGTGAGCGTGTTGCATGTTATAGAGGTTGAGGTGTGAGCTCTGACAGGAGAGGGTTAGCAGGCTCAGAGCAGACGGAGTGGTGACATTGACTAATTCACTCTGCTGTCATTTTAGATTTTATTTCCATTTTAGTCATATAGCAAATGCTCTTATTCAGAGCGGCTTACAGTAAGTAGTTAGTGCATACATTTTCAAACTGTTTGCTGTCTATTGCAATTTTCTGTTTGGAGGGAATGGGACTGACTACCACTACAGCCGAGTGAGGGTAAGTTGCAGTTTAACCTACTTGTTTTATTAATAATCTAATCGCTATTTGGGTTACCTGTCTTTCTGTATTTATATGTTACCTGGTGTGTGTCTGCCTGCCTGTCTATGTGTGTGTGTGTGTGTGTGTGTGTGTGTACTTGTGCCCACATGAATAGTCAGTTAAAAAATAATCACTCAATGAATAAAAGATGCTGAGGATGTTGTACTTACACATGTAGAGTAGTAGTTTGATCTCTCTTCAATGTGACTTACAGTGCATTTGGAAAGTATTCAGACCCCTTCCCTTTTTCCACATTTTGTTACGTTACAGCCTTAATCTGAAATTGATTAAATAAAAAATATTCCTCATCAATCTGCACACAATAGCCCATAACGACAAAGCGAAAACAGGTTTTTAGAAATGTTTGCAAATGTATAAAAAAATAAAAAACAGAAATACCTTATTTACATAAGTATTCAGACCCTTTGCTATGAGACTTGAAATTGAGCTCAGGTGCATCCTGTTTCCATTGATCATCCTTGAGATGTTTCTACAACTTGATTGGAGTCCACCTGTGGTCAATTCAATTGATTGGACATGATTTGGAAAGGCACACACCTGTCTATATAAGGTCACACAGTTGACAGTGCATGTCAGAGCATAAAACAAGCCATGGGTTGAAGGAATTGTCCGTAGAGCTCCGAGACAGGATTGTGTCGAGGCACAGATCTGGGGAAGGATACCCTGCATTGAAGGTCCCCAAGAACACAGTTGCCTCCATCATTCTTAAATGGAAGAAGCTTGGAACCACCAAGACTCTTCCTATAGCTGACCGCCGGGCCAAACTGAGCAATCGGTTTGGGCCTTGGTCAGAGGGCCTTGGTCAGGGAGGTGACCAAGAAGGGCCTTGGTCAGGGAGGTGACCAAGAACCCGATGGTTACTCTTAACAGAGCTCCAGAGTTCCTCTGTGGAGAAGGGAGAACCTTCCAGAAGGACAACCATCTCTGCAGCACTCCACCAATCAGGCCATTATGGTAGAGTGGCCTGACGGAAGCCACTCCTCAGTAAAAGGCACATGACAGCCCGCTTGCAGTTTTCCAAAAGGCACCTAAAGGACTCTGACCATGAGAAACAAGATTCTCTGGTCTGATGAAACCAAGATTGAACTCTTTGGCCTGAATGCCAAGCGTCTGGAGGAAACATGGCACCATCCCTACAGTGAAGCATGATGGTGGCAGCATCATGCTGTGGTGATGTTTTTCAGTGGCAGGGACTGGAAGACTAGTCAGGATAGAGGGAAAGATGAACGGAGCAAAGTAAAGAGAGATTCTTGAGTGCTCAGGACCTGAAACTGGGGCAAAGGTTCACCTTCCAACAGGAAAACGACCCTAAGCACACAGCCAAGACAACGCAGGAGTGGCTTCATAACAAGTCTCTGAATGTCCATGAGTGGCCCAGCCAGAGCCCGGACTTGAAACCGATTTAACATATCTGGAGAGACCTGAAAATAGCTGTGCAGCGACGCTCCCCATCCAACCTGACAGAGCTTAAAAGGATCTGCAGAGTAGAATGGGAGAAACTCCCCAAATACAGGTGTGCCAAGCTTGTAGTGTCATACCCAAGAAGACTCGAGGCTGTAATCGCTGCCAAAGGCGCTTCAACAAAGTACTGAGTAAAGGGTCTGAATACTTATGTAAATGTGATATGTCCATTTTAAAAAAATGTTTTACATTTGAACAAAATTATAACCTGTTTTTGCTTTGTCATTATGGTTTATTGTGTGTAGATTGATGAGGGGGGGGGGGGGGGAACAATTTAATCAATTTTAGAATAAGGCTGTAACTTAAAAAAATATGAAGGGGTCTGAATACTTTCCGAATGCACTATATTACGTTTTTTTTTACGTTTCCCTTCACATAGTATGAAAAATGTATGCACTCACTAACTGTAAGTTGCTCTGGATAAGAGCATCTGCTAAATGACTAAAATGTAAATGTAAATATCTGGAAGTCCTCAACTTTCCATTTGATCTCAACTTCTCGTTCCCCTCTTCTTCCTTGTGGTTTGAGCTTACTGACAATGATTCTGTCTGTTTCGGTATCCTTATCTTTCCCACAGTTTATCTCAATATAAGGTAAGTCATTTCCATGAGCACTCTTGATCACCT